TTTGATTTTTCACGATTCAGAGGACACAAGTGGATACTAAAACTGAGAGCAGCAGACACTTCTTGAAGGAAAGGCTTATGGGAGTAAGAAGCTACCCAGCCATGGTGTTAGTTCACTGGTGTCTACTTGGATTAATTAACTACTAGCATAGGGGCTAATAGCTTTCTTATCTTCTAATTGGATTATTAACTTCTGACTATGCTCTCTCCTACCTTTCTTTCTCCTATCTATCTTGTTTGAGTATCTGTATTCTGATCAATATGCCTAAAATTGAGAGATGTAAAGGACCCATTATCAAAGCAACACCCTGAGATATTTACAAGGTTTTATCAGTTCAGTTCAAGCATTATTACGGTACAGCCCAATTCAACAACACAGCAAGGACAGACAAACTTTACAAACAAAGAAGACAGTTATTTATGCTGTTTCAGAGTGAGTGAGATTGCAGCGGGGATGAAAGATTTTCTGAATCTCTTGCCTCTACACCTGGAGACACAGATGGAAGTAGTGTAAATGTAGATTTTGCAATCTTGCGCAGTATATTAATTCATGTATAATTATTTGTATATTCATTATATTTATCACCATAATATTTTTGCACTGTTCCCCGAATTACTTTTGCACTGTTTTTGTCCTGTTGTATACTTTTTTTCTGTTAGTGTATTTGCACAGTTTTTTATTACACTGTTATTGTTATTGTTTTACTGTCTATTGTCTTGTCTTCTGTTCTATTATATACTGCACCTGAGAGACTAATAAGAAATACTTTTCACTATATTATGCACCCGTGTAAGTATAATGACAAATAAAGTTGAATTGAATTGAATATAATTCATTGCATATTTTATTTGTGTGGCCATATTTGTATTGCCATTACTATATAGCCCAGTAGAAACTGCTGAATCAGTTTGATCTGAAATTATAGCAATAGGATAGTTTCAAGCTACTTTTCTGAGCTTGAACATAATTGTGTGCAGTTTAGAACTGCGAGTGTAAAGCAACATACTTCTATAATGACTTCAGTTGTGAAAATAGCACTTCCTTGGTTTATTATATAGTGAAAAAGCCATAATTTCCATTGTTCGAATGGCTGCTGCCGCCGATGGGGTCAGGCAGAGGTTGTTCGCTTGCGTTTCTTCACACACATCACTGTAGTGGCAACAATGCAGGCCGCTGCCACCACCCCTGTGACCGACAGAACAAGCACAGTTATGTTCACACTGCTGGGGGGGCCAGGCTCAGGCCCGGTGGGGGGGCCAGGCTCAGGCCCGGTGGGGGGGTCGGGCCCAGGCACAATCAGAGCTGCCTGGGCAATATTAGACACCTCTGAGGTGAGGTTTTCGTGGTCTTCACTCCGTGCAGCAAAGTAGAGGATGGTTCCGTTCTGCAGGGGAATGGACTCGGGAGAGAACGAATACTCCTCCATGGAGCCAGCTTCTTTCGGCAAGGAGAGAGAGACGTTTACAAGTTGGGCGTCGCTGAAATTCTTTCGGAGCAACTCAAAATCTGGGCTCATCCGAATCTCATAGGATTTTGCTGAAAAACAGATCAGAAAATGACAGCTTAGTTTCACATGTACATTCTTGAAATAACTTAATTTGCCTTCTTCTAATGCCTTATTCAATACTGTGGAGTTCACAGTTTCCTTTATAACCTGGCAGTTGACTTCCCATGTGTCGTGTTAAAAGTCTAAAGACCCCCCTCAGGAAATATTTAAGCAACAGATTAAATGTCGGTCACTGCTTTCACGTCTCAAGTGGCCAATGTTCAGGGCCAAGGAGTGACAGGTGTCATTGGGGAGGGGCGGGTGAGGAAGCACTGGGGTTCAGTCAGAAGGGAAACATCACGCCCCTTCATGCCACGGATATCAGAAGGGCATGCTGTGGAATGGCCAGGAGAGCAATAAAGACATTATGTATAGTGGTACAAAGGGAAAAACGGGGGTTAGCCAGGGCTCAGGAGGTCAGTCGGGTAGAAACTTATGCCGTCAGGCCGCGGAGCAGACGACTTGGTGCTGAGACAGAAATACAAGTCCCACACAAAGACACACCGGAAGGACAAGCAAAGCACAGGGAACTAGGAACAGGACAGAGAAGGACCGCCCTCTAGATGTAGAGGGCATGACACTTCATTCTAAATCGTTTCGTTTTAGTCAGTCAGTCCCATGGACAAAAGTCGGAGTCCGAGTCTGAGTTTTCCATACCCGTTCCCTGGTCGTAGTCCTCTCCAGGAGCAGTCCATGTCAGGAGCACCCCCTGCGCCTCGATCCTGGCGCTGAGGTCGGTGATTGTGCAGGGAGGGAACCTTGGAGGGGGGGCTCCAGGATCCATGGCGACAGTGAAGGCCCCCCCCGAGGCCGTCCTGCTGAAGCTGCCCACCCGCGCCTGCAGGTCCTCCTCACTCCCGGGGGGCTTCTGGGGGTTCAGCTGCAGCTGGCCTGACGACAGAGGTGTTTTTTTTTATTTTTCTTATCTATCAATCCATTTTCCAGTATCTGTTTATCCAGTACAGAGCCTCGGGGGAGCCAGAGCCCAACCTGGCGAGCAGCGGACACACACACACACACACACTCGCCAGGGTCAGTTTCCCCAGATGCCAGTTAACCCTGTGTTAACCCTGTGAGACCTGTGTGTCTCTGGGCTGCGGGAGGGAACTGGAGCAAACCCATGTGAATGTGGGGAGAACATCCAGACTCCACACAGACAGCACTCCGGGAATTGAACCCAGGGCCCCAGTGCTGTGAGGAGGCAATGTTAACCACTGTCCCACTGCTCCCTCCCCCAGTTAAATCTTACACTGTGGTTAATGAAAGTTTACTCTTAAAAATGCTGTACTGGCTTTAAAACATTCCCATGCAGTGTGATGCCTATGCTAATCTGTAATCCGTACCTATAATACATAATAATAAACTTTATCTTATATAGCACCTTTAAAAGTGGCTTCTCAAAGCGCTTTACAATATGGAAAAAAAACTCACAAGGAGACAGCAGGTTGGCATAATTACAATAAGGGTTTGGAATACAGCAGGAACGCAAAGCAATTAAAAGAAAGTCCTCCTAAAGCGGAAGATTTTGAGTCATGAGTTGAAAGTGATCAGGGAAGATATCCTTAGGGATAGAATTCCGGAGTTTTGGGGCATAAAATACCTACGACCAACACAGCTGAAATCAACAGCCATTCCCTGTGTCTGGTGTGTAGTAAACTCTTCACCTCTTTGATTTTTACTCAAGAGAATCCATATTTAAAACAACAAATTTGCTGCTGGTTTCACGGGATACAAATATTTACCATCTTCCATGTATCCTGGTATGTACAGAGCGCGCCCATGTCTTCTCACAGAAAGCCTGGCTGTGTCCCCTCGACCCTGGACTCTGACTTTCAAGTTGAAAGTCCCACTCTTTCTTACATTGGTGAAATATTTGGTATAGATGCCATCACGTCTGAAAACATCAGCACCTGAAAGACAAAACATCACTTACGTGTAGGGGAACTGGGGTCATTAAGGGTCAGCTCAGTCCTTGCTTTCCATTTCCACAATGAAGAGACACGTTGATAACAGCCCAAACTCTCCCTGCTATACAAGATGTTCCCTAAGACACCTGTCTAGGATGAATTAGATGTCAGATTAGTAATGAGTTCTCCTCCCTTCTTGTTCAGATCTTCAATACCTGCTCCATTGTCCAGAAGTTGCAACTCCTCATTGGGCCCATCGTTTGACTCAATGGTGGCGACGACATCAGCCAGTATCACAGGAAGATCCCCCTGCCTCACTTCTGCAAACACCAGCATGGGTCGGCTTCCATTGCTGACCTCCTGGTTCATGTGGGCTTTAACGGTCACGGGATCGACGCTGGCGCTAGCCGCGCGGCTCGTCACGGTCACGGCCAGAGCCTGCCGGCTGGACTGTGTGTTGTGAAGACTGTAAGTCCAGTCTCCCACCTGAGGCAGCAGGGAAAGTAATATAACAGGTTCATGCTCCGGGTCAGCTAAAAACCTCTTTCAATACGGATGTGGACAGTAGAATTTCAGGTATGCGTAAGAGTATTCAGAATGATTGTGTAGAAAAAAACACAGTGAAACAAAGTAAAGAAATATGAGAAATGAGAATGAAAAAATTAGAAAAAATTATAAAGATAACGATTCTCTTAATAAGAACAAAATAGTACCTCTGCAGTTCCTGGTATCTTTAATGTAGCTGTTTTTAAATCTCTGTTTTGAGAAAAGTCTGTGTTGGTATAATTGAAACCAGTGGGACTTGTAACAATGATATCAGGCACACTTGTTCCCCAGATAACTAAAAAGCTTGTGTCATTTCCAACAGTTTTATCCACAGAAACTGTTCCATTAAAAAATGAATTTCCATCAGTGTTCATTCCAGTACTCTCAAGCTATGTGGGGAAAGAGCGGATTGTTAATGTTCGTTTTAATATTCACATTTTACAAAAACACCAATTAAGTTTCAATTTATCAATAGCAGCCTTACCTGGATGGACTGCAGAGTGAGATTCCCATCTGAAGTTGTCAGAGCAGCAAATGCATCAACAAGCCCATTAGAATCCACCTTATCTGTGGCTAAAATGTATTTTCCACCTAAAATGATTAAAAACCTTGGTTGGAGGTCTTGATTTTGCATATATTTTAATGTATTCTGTGCAGAATTAATCACATGCTGAATATTTTCAGACATTTCTGGTCTAAAGTCCTTATCTCATTAGGCTTTAACATGACACCAGAAGGGACTGTTGGACCTCATTAACAGGGTGATAGGTAAAAGGTTAAGAAACAAGGTTAATTAGGATAATTAAGCCAGGGATCAAAGATGCCATATCTACAGGAGGTGTTAAGCATGTCTCACACTGAGCTGAGATGCAGATAGTGTGTGTTCCAGATGTGTGGCTCATGCCATCTTCTGGAGAATCCAGATGTACAGAAACTCTTCAGTTCAGAAGCAGCCTTCAGGAGGGTTTAGTTGAAAGTTGAAAAGCAAGGTGATGTTGGACTGATTTGCTACAGAAATTGATCTCTTGTGTCGGTTGTGTGTTTCTTTGAATCCAGGTGGAATAATAAGATACCAGTTACCTCCTGTTTTCAAACATGGAGGAATGTGTCTCTCTCTGGAATATCCTAACTGAAGCAATTGTGGCCACAAAAACAGAAAAGCTGCATGTAGAGGTGGTGTCTCTCTAGAATATCCCAGTATTGATTTGGGACAAAAAGCACAATGAAATCACATTTTATTTTGCAGTTTGGAGAGAAGCAATGGTTGTCATCCACCTAGAAATGACTTAACAGCTCTACTCCAAAGCCTTAGTATGGCTTTTATTACGAAGTAGTTTAGAAAGAGCCTTCCCTGTGTGTTTTATGTCACCCTGTCCTTGTAGGACCTTCTGTAGTCCTTCTGTAATGTCTTCTGGTGTCTGTTCCAGATCAGGTATTCATTCTTACTGTGACTGAACATTTAATTCAACCAATTTCTTTTTTTAACTCTTTTCTGTCCTTGGGACTTTAAGAAATAATCTGTTTTAATTTAAATAAATGTAACATATTTAACATATATATATACTGTATATATAAAAGAAGTTAATTCAACACTGAAAAGGAAAAAGAAGAAAAAATATTTTGGCTTCAGGTCTGTGTGTCCCTACACCCACCTTAAACAGTTACAGTATTTGTTTTAACTTAGTTAAGACTTGCTCCTCTCACCTAGGTTTTTAAAAGAGTACTAATGATTTATGATGTACAGAAACATGGGACAATCACCACTCCTCCAGGTCACTTAAGTAATAAAGATACAGGAGAGGAGCTCTGAAATCCAGCCCGTGGCATGGGGTTCATGCTCATTTCCAACTATGTGACAACTAAATGCATTTTAAAAACAAGTCAATTAAAGGGGCAGTAAACATGCTTAAAGAAGAGTTCAGCTGGCAGGAAACCCAGAAAACACAGGGTCTCCCAGGACCAGAATGATGAAACTGCTTCATGAATTGCTTGACAGAGAATTAGAGTCCCAGTAGCTCCTTTGCTACTGTCGTGCTCCTTGTATAGTTGCTTCATTTTTGCTGGACTTTACCTGTCATGTTTACCATTATTTCAACTCTTTTATCAGCACTCGGTCCCAGGGCAATTCCATGAACTATAGCTCCACTGTTGCCGACTTGATCAAGACAATCCACTGGCGATTCTCCGTCAGACAATAACACAATCTCATCACCAAATGTACTGCTGTCATCTTCTCTGAGTACCTGAGTAAACAGTGCAGAGGACAGATCTATAATATAAATAACATAAATAACTCCTGGTTGCATCGAGAGTGCTCCTAACTGATGAGAATGCTTGCAGAATTGAAAAAAGACAGATCCAGGAAAACACACTTTTGAATTGGACTCGAAACAGTTCTATTCATTTATTAACCAATTATCAAGAACTTTTTAAAGTTTAAGTTTTTTCAGGTTTTATTTAGCTCTTAATATTATTAAAAGTAGAAAGAAAAACAAATAGGGATATCTATTTTGCAGCAGTGTTCTTGGCATTGTTGAAAATGCTGTAATTGTGGTCCTAAATGTGTGACAATCTTGGGCTTTTCTTTAGATGAGTGGGCAAAAAACATTATAGCACACAGGAGCCCCAGCTTTTAAAATAAGCTTTTTATATCTCCTTTTCTTTCCTGAAGGTTATAATGCTGAGAGTCAGACTGCTCAGAAAGGCAGACTGACTTGACACACGTACTACCTCTCCCCAAGGACGTGAGCATTGCTATTACCCACATTTTATTATTTACCACTATCAGACCAGATGATGTGGATCTTCTATATACAGTATGGTATAATGCAATGCTGTTATTAATTTTGAGTAATTGCTGTTACAAATTCTGCTTACCTGAAAGCCGGAGTCAAGCCCTCTACAGATATCCGTCCCTCCACCAGCTGTGCTGGGCAAGGCTGTAACCAGCTCCTCCCTTGAAGTCTCGTCATGAACCAGAGTTAACGATTTGACTATTGTCCCACTAGAAGTGAAGGTAACTATCCCAACCATGGACTGGTCTTCAATAATCTCCCGCAGGAAGAGAGTTGCTGCCTGGCGCAGTCGGGTCAGTCTGTCATAGTCCTTTGAAACACAACGAGAGCATTAAATGGATGACAATTCAACAACCACAAGTGTCGTTTCAGCATAACTGACATTCTCTAAGCAAAGAATTTATGAAAAATAACACATTTTATTTCAAGAACATAAAAGACATGTATAAAGTAATGAAACAGTAAATTACCGAAAACAAAATCAGGAAACCTGGGTTGCTTCATTCGGGTAACCCTGATGACAGACCCAGGAGGGCAGGACACCAACCCTGGGCTTTGCACAAACTGTTCATTTGTTATAATTAATGAACCATTAATTAAGCTCATTGCCTAGACAGGGGGAACCACTGGACTGGGTTTTCCTCACCTCTGTGCCAAGTGCTCACTTGCTGCTATATTGTTAACTGCAATACAGATCAGTAAAACACTCTGTGGTGAACTGTTGTGAAGGGCGCTATAGCAGAATAAAAAGAGTGATTGATAAGCGAGGGAAATTTATAAATTAATTGTGGCCTATATCCTTGTATATTCTTCAGTGTTCTCAGGGCATTGATATATACTTCAGCTGGATAGATCACCATTGAACAGTAACATAAATAAATATTCAATAAACTAATCTATTTTATGTCTAACTTTGAGATTCTCCCGATGTCAAACAGCTTCACTGTTCGGCTGCTTTCACTGTCTCAGCCACTTACCGTTTGACTGTGCATGAGATCCACAGGACTCACAGGAGAGCTGGAGCTGACTGGAGAGGCATTTCTCACTAGCGTCACTAACGTCACAAACACCACTAGGCCAAACGTGTCCAGCAAGCCTGTGCCTGCCAAGGATACAGTGTGCAGCGCTGCCTAGAAAAGCTTAATCCACCTAATCACACAGCATCTGGAGACTGTGAAGCGCGGGCATGTCTTGTGAAAGACACTACTTCATTTATCAACACTTACTTTTGACCACATACGCTCTACCTGTCAAACAAGTACTGTCAAACAAGTGCAGAGTCAGAGGTGTCACAAAAACACCCTGCAGACTTACACCCATGCTGCCAGACACATCCAGCACGAGGCAGACGACTCTCCTGCCCTTCTGCAGCAGAGTGAACTGGGGTGGCGGCGGATCCGCTGTCATGGGCGCGGTCCGGTCGAAGTCCGGCGCAGAGCCGATCACACTCCACACACTCCTGTAGTTGCACATCCTGTTCTGCATGTTCGGAGCCTCCTGGTTATGGCTCTTGTCATTACAGAATTCCGTGATCTAGGAAATGGAAAGAAGTGTTCTACTTTTTGGGAATCATTAAGGAACTTTCCTATTTTTTGTTCTTATGTTCTTGTGCTTGTCTTCTTTTGCCTTACAGTACATCACTTTTTTGTAAATATTACCATCTTTAGAACCTTCTGACCTCAGGCAGATACAGTACCTCTGTATTTTCCTGACTTAACTACATTCAAGCTTAAGATGAATTTGTATAAGAACCACTGTTTGAGCAGCAGGTCATCAGTATCTGGAATTTATTTTTGTCAGAAAACATGGAGCACATTCTACCATGCAACACAAAGCAGTTTTGGAAGAAGAATATTAACAGATCTGACTCAAAACTCAAGGTCAGCAACCTGTTTCCAGACATTGCTGCCATGATATCCTACAAATGTAAATTATATTTCAATCATTAATAATAAACAAATAATCACACAGGTATATTTGAAAGTTATGTTTTTTCCGGCTTGTTATATGATATAAATGACAATCTTAACATTTAGAATAGAAGTCATACCGCAGGCAGGCTCTGGAGATACATTATGGACGCGGACGTTTTTTGGGTCTTGTCTGGGAAAAACTGGCAGTTGGCACTGGGCAGTCCGGTAATCTGGTCCTTGGAACACCTCTGTAGAGAACTGTCAGAACTGGATGGGACACCTAAGCTGCCTGTGAGATCTTTGGAACACCTGGAAATTAGAAGAGAAGAAATCATTTAGACTTCAGGAATAATTGTCTACAAAGGTGATTTTGTGTCTCCGCGTCGGAGTACCTGGTTGCTTCCACCTGCTGGCTGCTGGAGATGTAAAAGGGTGTGTCCTCGTTGTATTCATCATAGACACCCCAGCGCAGGTGTGCCCACTCGTGCACAAACACTCTGCCTAGAATGGTGGACATAGAGCAGGAATAAAGATATGTATTGATGATATGATATATAAATTATATGTGTTGAAAAGCATTTTGCTGATTCCTCATGATTTCCAGATTTAAAAGACTTTGACTATGACTATGACTATGACTATGCAATAATGCATGAACACACAAGAAATCTGAAGAAGGCATAATTTTCAGCTGGTACTTCTGGCCTGTTACACGTTAAGGAGTGTCTCATTTGCTCCACAGCAGGAAAGAAGTGGTACAAGCATCTTGTCTTGAAGTCTCATGCACCCATGGACTTGGCACAATACGGTCAAGCAGATTTTTACAAACCCTCAGAGTGCACACAAAATACCAGGGTTTTCAGCAGAAGTCCTGTAGCTCACTCCTCACCTCGGGGTCCGTAAGCATTCAAGAGAGAGTCGTTCAGCAAGAAGCTGGGTGTCAGATGGATGTATTTTCCTGGTTTTCCACACTCATCGTACTGCAGTGTGTAAGGATCGTCTCCATACGACATGTCTTTAATAACTACGTTTGCCTTCAAAATGTAATAATCAACATAAAAAATGAACTGATGAACTGATGATCGGGGAAAGCTTCGTATTGTACAAGTTTAAAAAAATCAATCCTTATATTATTATCTAAATTCTTACAGAAAACATTCAGATATTTTCTTTTCTAACAGAACAATTAATAAAAGTAGACATGCTTTTTATCAGATTGTTCAAATTTGAAACTGTCCTTATTATTTAAATCTACATCAGAAGGGGACAGAGTGAATTATTACTCAGTTGTGCAACAGAACAATCTTTAAGACTGATAAAGAAAAGCTGTGCTGCTGTTTGGTGTACAAAGTGAATTTCCCCCCAAAATATATACAGTACCTCCATAAGTGTGACAGTTTCTTTACAGCACTGCAAGCTGAAATAATTGTAATGCGACGACTGCATATTAAAGTTAAGAGAGTGATGGTACACAGGTTAATAACCTTAATTTGACATGTCTAACAGCTACAGGAGATTTGGAGTTTACATTTTCATATGATTCTGTTTTTCCTCTTGTATAGCTCGGCTGTGGTGCCCAGTTAGGGGGGACGAGTATTTTCACATCCTTGAAGTAGAACATTTTCTGAGTAGCAGTGACGAGGTATGCTGAGGAGCTATTGATCATATCCTGTTAACAACAAGCAGGAAAGGACAAAAACTTTGTGACTCATTGAGATCCCACACTGTGAAATTCTACTCTTGCTCGACAGGTAAAATGCAATTTAATTGACACACAATCTTTATTCTCTTCAATGTGTTTCTGTCATAGTATACAACAGTAATAGTGATGAAGGAATGAAGTGTGACACCAATTAATACATTTCGTGTACAGTATTAGAATCAAATATTCAGTAATCATAAATTGTCCTTTAAATCTTCTATAAATTAAGAGATTAAAGGCTTTTTTGAATGGTGTGAAAGAAAACAACACTAATTTGTAAATTGAATTCTTTGGAGGATAAGAGGAAATACAAACTTATTACTGTCAAAAAATTGGGAGTTGGACTGAATTACAAAATTCTGTTTGGAATATGGATTAAATTCTAAATAAGATTCAAATATTTTTACTAGGGGTTAAATTTGCTTTACTTTTTTCAGATACATTTGTTGTTGAGTAGAAAATATACAAGTTGATAGCAAACATTTTGCTTGATTATCTCAAGAATTTCAGAGGAGTCGATAATCATAGTTGGTTTTAACAAACTGTATGGAATATGTACACAGTATTACATTTTGTCCTGTCCTTTGTATTCAAATGAATTCTGTCACATTCTTCATCTGTATTCAGTTTGGCATATTCAACACTGAGACTCCTTAGCTGGTTTCCCTTCCAATCCCAGTCCTTGAAATTAATTTCTACTGACCTGGGACAAGATCTTTCTGGTACAAGAAACCAGCCTTCAAGGACCTGGCTTGGCATCTTGTTGGTCCATGGTCGAAATGTCTTATGTTACATAAATATTATATGAATGAAACTGTAAGAAGTTCTTCTTTGCGAGTGTTCTGCTTTCAGTCTGAAATGTTCACACTGTTTTCTAAAAGGAGTGCTAGCTCAACATCACCTGTGCCACTCCAACATCGGCTGGTCAGGTCAGCTGTTGAAAATAAGCCTTGTGGGTTTGAAGGCTATGTCCCTTCTCTGTCACTGACATTCAATCAATTAAAGAAAATTGTACTTTAGAAACCCCAGATTATAGAATTTATATATTCTAGTCCTCCATAATATTTTGTGTCATAGCCTGAATACATTTGATTGTCTTTTCTTAAAGCTATCATACAGTAGATCCACTACACAAATGTATTAGTCCAAACACCTCCTACGTAGGGTGAAATATTTTCAAAAAAGCTATTGAGGGATTACTACATAAGACATTATTCAAAAAACAGCTTGATTTACTTGTCCTAAAAATATTATCCGCATATCTTCATTAAAGTTAAAACTAATAAGAACTTAAATTAAAATTTTCCATTTTGTGTGTGGTTTTCTTTTCGGTTTTCTGTTGGTGTCATCTGATATAAAGCCATTCCTTTGTTTAGTTGACTAAGGAAAGGAGCAGCGTGGAAACCGGTGACGTTACCTTGATGTTCTGGATGAGCTGGGGGTTTTCAGGCACAGCTGGGTTGATGGCAACCAGTATGTTAGTGAATCCATTCCCATCCAGCTCAATCATGCAGGCTCCTCCTGAGAGAGAAGAGAGCAGTAGAAACAGCACTGCTCCTCGATCCATGGCTCAGCCCTCCCAGCCAGTTGCAGCAGATGGAGAACAAGGTCTTATTTGTAACCTGCTTAATCGGACATCATAAAATCACATGATCACATAAATGTGACGTTATCACATAACCCATAAATGTTAAAAGTTAATCTGAATAATGTTTTTGCCTTGTCTCAGCTAAAGTGGACCAATCAGGAAGTTATTACACAGTTGACACAAGTTTTATTCCCTGGATTCTCACTGTTTAGCTTTAACATGAATATGAAGGGATGTCTGTTTTTTTTCTTTAGGTCAGTGTATGCCATCTGTTATATTCTTATATTGTTATACTTTGTAGAAGAACATAATGAGATAGTCATGATACTATCTACCCTGACCAATCAGGAAGGTATTACACAGTTGACACAAGTTTTATTCCCTGGATTCTCACTGTTTAGCTTTAACATGAATATGAAGGGATTTCTGTTTTTTTTCTTTAGGTCAGTGAATGCCATCTGTTATATTCTTATATTGTTATACGTTGTATGAGAACATCATGAGATAGATGAGAATCAAACAATTGAATTTTTGTAATCACATTGTTGAGATGTACTTGAAAGTACCTTTATTTTCGAATTTCCTTGAGCCATACAAGTACCTTATACCTAACTTAAAGCACAAGAACATAATTCCTGTGGCTCTAATGGCAAGGAACAATGCTAGACCCTACCCTACAAACTGTCCATTTCCAATTTTTTTAAAAAAAGGGAAAAAAAAACCAAAAAAGAACAAAAAAGAGATCTGTTGATACTTAGTGGTCATAGACCTGAGAGAATATTTATGTAATACAAAGTCGCAGGAGAGCCAGGCAAGCCACTGGTGCAGGGTGGAGCCCAGCGTGGACAGAAGACTTGCCCATCTCAGGGCACACAGACACACACACACTCACACCAGGGCCAGTGAACCTACCAGTATGTCTTTGAACCGTGGGAGGAAACCGGCGTTGAGCAATGCACCATCGTGCTGCCCTTAAATGGAAACAGAAAGCTCTGAAGTAAAGGTTTCAGATTCAGGTGAGTTTCTTGTTTGAGATTGCTGACCTCTTTATGATTTCTTATCTATTGCACATCTCCAGTCAATTTTTACACGTCTGTATTGTTTACATTCAAACTCTCTACATGTTTACTTGCACATTGTCTACTGTTTGTTTGTACATTGTCTTGATGCACTGTTTGCACTTTGTTTGTTTTTTACACTTGTTTTTACAATCGAGAGACTTTCTGTAAGTAAGAATTCCATTGTACCAGTACCGGTTACATATGGCAATAAAGTTCAAGTTCAAGTTCTTTCAGAAGCAGCTCAGCGTCAGGAAAACATCATCGGTATAACCAAGACTGTGCACAACTTCTCTGGCTCATAGACCATGAAGAGAACTAACAAAAACATTACTTTAAACTTTATACAATTTACTGTAACACTCAATACACAGATTTCTCCGAGGTTCTCATGACAGATGACACTTTTGTGGTGTCTGACAGCATAATGGGGAACTGAATTGCAGGAAAAATACAGTATCACCAGGTGCTTTCCCCTGAGTGCTTTATAAGAAGTGTTTATCAGATTCGCTTCAAACCTGTGATTCATTAATCATGGAGATCCTTGAACAGCCTTTCTTCCACAATTGGCTGAATGGCTGTTTTAAGCACTGTTTTACGCACTATGTGCTCAACAACAATCTTGTGAACACAAGCCAGTAGACTTCTTATCCCAGAGGTTATAATTGAATTTAATAAGTCACTAAGACATTTTTGTACTTATGGCACCTTTGAATTACTCATAAACACCACATCAACTTAAACAGTTAAGACCTAAGTAACATGACAAGTTGGCTCTTTAAATAGATTTCACAAGGGACAACAACACCCAAGGACTGAATGCTTGATTAATGGTCAGCCTCCTGACTCTGAACCCCAGTCAGACTGGGTGGATCAAGGGGCAGCTGCAAGGTGGAGATAAGGTGGAGGAGGGACACTTGAGATGAATGTGAAGGGAGGTGTTCGAGTTCAGTATATGCATCTAATTTCATAATGGTGGCATACAGGTACAGCTGTACAACATTGACTTCTTGTTGTTATCCCTTTCGAACTTCAGTTAAATAATTTCCATTTAACCCACCAAGATTTGTCTAAAACCAAATCTAGCAAAAACTCCAGTCTGGGTGACTAGGGTGAATAATGTAATGAAAATTGTGGTGGTGTAAAAATGTATTTCATCACTTTATTGAGAGACTTGCTGGACTGATTAGAGCTGCTCTGTCACATTTACTGGTAATACCTGGCCATTTTTTCACAGCACATCTCTTCCCCATAGTGCTGGGAACTTTACTGAACATCTTCCTGTGCCTGACATATGTTCAGGAACACTGTTTGTGTAGGGAATGTACACAAAGATTTTTAGATTTTTGGCTCCATTGCCAAAATAGTCCAGCAGCTTCCTGACTCTTTAAAATAAGAGCAACATTTTTCCATTTCTAACCTCTTAGCTTTTTCAATGCCAAGATCAAATTAAAAGCTTATCGAGTTTAGGAAAGCACTTTATAAGCCAAGGCTTTTACCTTGATTAGAGGAATCTTTTTTGGGAATTAATATAATTAACATGTAGCTTTTGTGAATCTCTCCTGATCTGTAATATTACCTTATACAAAGAATATTATTAAAATATTAAAAATCCTCAAAAATCAAAGTGGATCCCATTATCCCACAATCCTGTGTAATAAAGACAAACATCTTACGTTCAGTCCTGAAGCTTCTTGTAGCTCAGCACTATCCATATTTCAATGTGCATTTTTGATGACACGCATGTCACACTTAAAATGAACACACTCAGAATGTGATCTGCTAAGTGAATTTGCACATTAACTATGAGGAATGAACCAGGGAGGCAGCTCCAACAGTGAAGCTGGGGGAGGGAGAGGTGTGAGCAAAGATGCACACAGAGCTGTGGGCAGTGGGTGTTTAGACATTAAAGTGGAAGTGCAGAATTATAACTGGACTTCCTGAACTTCTGTTAATTAATACCATTAGGCAATATGAAAAACAAGAAGAAATAACATTTATTCAGCCAATGTTTTTCACCATGAGCCTAGGGGAATTTTTCAGATAAAATTCAAAGGAAATGCTTGTGAAACATTTTATTGCATCTGAAAAATTCAACTTCAGAAAGAGGCAGAAAACATTGCCAAACCAGAGTGGAGAACAACTGTATATAACATTTTAACACTATGGCAGAAACCCAAGTAAAAGATGGCCAACAAAGTGAGCTGAGAGGCTTTGGTGAGCTCAAAAGCACATGGCACTCCATAACTCAGGCCAGAGGAGATGGGAGCAATTTGTACCATAGCTTTTTATCCAAACAAAAATCTCTGCACGTTGTTGTCCTGTAAACGTGTAAAACAATAAATATACTTCCAAAGTTCTAAAGTACAAGGCAATTATTTCACATTTTCAAACATTTCTATCAGTTTTCATTATCTGTGCTCATTATCCCACAGTCATGTTAAGGCAAAGTCCACACCACAGGATCTGACCAGAGGTCATCACTGTGTCTTGTAGCATTAAGTGAACTAGAGAGCTTGTGACTAAGGACATTGATCATCACAGGGAAAAGCCCTCTGCACTGCTAGTTCCTGGAGGAACTGGGGTAAAGTACGTCACTCAAGGTACTTACAGCATTTAGTCTGGTTTTATCAAGCAAGGCAATTCAGATCATCATAGTATCTTACAAATGCCCAAGTGATGCACCACATTTTCTCTTTCAGATGGTGGAGTTTAGTGAGGGGTTGGTGGCATCTTGGTCAAACAGCAATTTTAATAAGAATCCATTACTATAATCATTTAATGCCTAGATCTGAATAACATTTGAACTCCTGAGAATTTGTTCTTTAGCTTTCCAGTAGCTAAAATGCCTGACATGTGAAACCGATAACACATATGGGCTGAGATCTTATCATCAATGTTCAGTTTGTATGTAATAAATGTGTAGATGTTGCCTCTGCCTGTGTCCACAATGCCTATGCTCACTGTCCATGCAACACTGGTTTAATTTTCTTAACAAGCTTAGTGCACTTAGAGAGAAAAAACATCTATTTAACACACAAACCAACAGGGTAAACAAGTGCAAAAACAGTGCAATGCATGCAATTCTAAAAATACTATCCATAAAATAAACCAGTCATATTCACCTCACTTGAAGAAGATTGTACTTTTCTAAATCAACAAAAAAAAAGTGATCCTTAACACATCCTGACCAGCACCAGCATATTGTCCAAATAATAACAGAGAACAGGTCTTTCCACCCTCATTTCAACAGATGAGAAACCAGGATTTTCAACTGTAATGAATAACAAATATAACAACCATATAACAATCGTGCTAATTTCTATGAGTGAACACATATATCGCCTTCCCTAAATTATACTGGAGAAGAGTGGATCTTCTCACAGATGCTCTACAGAAAGGCTGGTCTTTCCACCCTCATCTCTGCAGTAACAAACTCTGCTGCTCCTTCCAGCTGGGGGCAGAAGACAGGATACACAGGCAATTTCAGACTGCAGTAAAATGGGTACAGGCACTCGAGCGCGTGTGCGTCATAGAAGGCCAGGATCCCGCTGTCGCAGTCCAGGAACAGGCCGATCCTCTCCGGGGCCCTGCTGGCGCCGAAGGAGAAGGCCAGCCAGTCGTGCTGGGCGCAGAACTGCCGCCGGCTCCCGCTGTAAGACAGAGCCCAGGACTTGTCGTCGCTCCCCGGCCAGCAGCCTGGCGGGTCCCTCGTGATGCTCCTGTAGGTGATGCCCAGGGCCCAGGAGGGCAGGTCCCTCACGGTGACCTCCCAGTAGTGCACGCCCCGGCTGAACGCCGCCGTGCCGAGCACGCAGTAGGAGCCCCTGAAGCGCTCCGTGTTGAGCCCCTCTGTGTGCTTTTCGCGGGTGGCGCAGACGGCAGTGTAGTCCTTGCTGATCTTCAAGTGCGGGTGCGCCGTCCTCGGGTCAAGCTTTATTTCTTCAGCTAGAAAACCAAGAGGAAATTTACAAACACACAACTAAACTAAACCTTTTGATATCCTTGAATTAATAAATAAAAAACAGCTGTCCAGCACTAGAATCGTCCTGCAGGGGATTCTGAGCACATTGTGTGAGGCAGCAGTCAGGGAGAATTGTGTGTTTGTGTAGTTAACCCACATGTTGCTGCTCAGGGTATCTACACAATATTGTGCCCTTGAAGCACTAACTCCGTATGGTTAATCATTTAACCATATATTTAACCGTATAGTTAATCACTCCATAAAATGTTCATCATTTTTAAAAAAAGGAGGTATGAAGGCAAATGGAGCTGTTTCACAGATGATTGGAGGGATACCCAATTGTAATCTCACTTCTGCTTTCTTGCACAGAAATATCACGCCTGCTGAGGCCCCCTCCCCTCAACGCTCCCTCCACCCCATCTTCATCCCTGCCGCTGGCTCCCTGGTTCATTCCTTGCAAGTGAGGGCAGTCTCGGCCTTACAACCAGGGCTGTCACATCCTCAGCCAGGCGGGCAGATGCCAAACACTAAAATACTAAGCGTGCTTTCTTTTATACACTCGTTGTGTTAACGGTCTCTGTCCAAGCTGCTAAAACACAGGATGGAGGAGTTACCTGCAAATGCTTTCTGTAGAGCCATGAACAGAGGTGTCTGTCTTTTTGATGCTGTGGAGGGAATGCCAACAGACTCCATTGTCTCCTGGATTTTTGAGGAACAAAATTCCCTCTGATAGAGGTCATTCCTTCAAAAGACAAACATATCATGTGTGCACCATCAGATAAATGTGCTATGGGACACATTATATGTGAAACAGGAGAAAATGGAATTAAACCTCAAACTTCCACATAGTCCTTTCCATGCAGTTTAATCTTCAGAACGCACCAGTCTTTGCAGAAGACTGAAGTTCCCGGATGGCTTCATCATTACTCTTTTATTTTAAATGCACCAGCTCAAAAATGGGTGAAAGTATTTCAAAAACAAACAACTTACCAATCAGCATTTTTCAAAAGCTGTAAGACACAACAAAACATGGTTAGGTAAGGCAAAGTTTGAGTCAAGACTTGCTTGCTGATATATGAAATAGTAATTGCACAAGGACTCTGAAACTGTAATTAACAAAAACATGGAAATGTATTTTTATGTAATCTAATTCAGATAAATTTAGAGCATGTATATACCAATATACTGTATACTGTACGTCCCGGGGACTTCCTGCTGAAATGTGTCTGATGGTGTGTGCTGGTGCCTGATCGATACTGGACGTTCTCCCCAGAGACAGCAGACTTACCTTCAGGAGTGTCACAGGGTCTTGAACAACCAAGGCTTTTTCTAAAGCAGCTCCAGCCTCCTGCAGTTGTCCCTGGAACACCTTCAGCTTCTCCACTCGGTATTTTATCCTCCTGCTTTCCTGCACCATTTCCACAGAAAACCTCTTCCGCCAGGCCTCTTCCTCGATGTCGAGCAGCAGCTTGATCTTGCTCAGGAAGCCGGTGTATCCCTGCTGCTGCTTTTTAATATTCTCCTGCCCAGGGGAAGAAACAGACTGAGTAACAGATACTGTCATCTCTGCTATGAGGTAAAATCCCATTCACGTGACAAACCATTTCCATCTTCATGCAGGAACATGAAGGAACACAATTTAAAAACAAAAGAACAGGTAAGGTAATAAAACAGCAGCAACAATAAAAGATCTGAATCTGAATGTAAAAACAAAGAAAATAATTAATACCTCTGTGAGAGATGCGACTTCTTCCAGTTTTAACAGACAGGCTCCAATTTCAGACAGGCTTTCTTCGACATTTTCTAGTTTGGCTAGACATCCCTCCTAGAAATAAAAAAAAAATGGAAAAATAAAGTTATTTTCCTCTTGTTGTTCAGCTCTTCTTTCTCTTTCTTTGGCGACCACTTCTTCACTACTTGTGTTGATGAAACATGCTTGTTCCCTTCACATCATTGCAGGAGTGTTAGTTATCACTTCCTAGCAGGCAGGGCAGCTCACCAGCTGGGCTCCGATGCAGTGAAGAGCAGTTCCTGTTGCTACTTGCAAACCCTGAGCTGCACTGAGCTCTTGCCTGCAGCTGTGCACACAGGCCCTCAGCTACAGCACACAGCAGCCACACTGCGTGGGCTACCTTTAATAGGACATGCCAAACCTGTACATCATCGACTGCACACAGGCTATATCGATATCGGTGGCCTGTTTGATTTGACCCTGATCCTATCTTCCTGGCCGCACAGAGGAGGATGTCCGAATGCCCCGACACACCAAGGCGCTGTGAAGTGTGCTGGAGCTGGACATGCTGAAGGGAGTGCGTGCAGGAAGAGTGGGTCTGGAGCAGGTTCCAACTCTGGACCTCAGGGATAAATCAGCAGCAGTTTTAGGGATGAAGGGATCTCGGGGCGGAGCGGAGCGGTGTGAATTTTTCATTTGTAAAGAAATGCATAGTTTTAAAAATTAAACATTTGGTAAACCTTAGTCCTACTAACTCTGTCATGCACGAGGTGATTTAGTGCTTATGCACATCAAAGTCACGCCAGGGCGTCATGATCGGCGAAGAACAAAAACCCACATAACGCAAAAAGCATTTAACTGACATCTGTAAACTTGCTTAAAAAAAAAAAACAAGCATGCATGCATACAGCATGCATCGTAAAGTGATGTCTATTTTTATGCTCAGTATAAATAGACCCGTGAGTAGCTAACGGCCTTTCAAACACATTCCTGTGCAGCAGCAGACATTGTGATAACGGCGTCCCAGTGCCAGAGCTGCCTGATAAGAGTCAAGTCTCCGGAGTACCAGCGCCTCGCTGCAGGTTGCAACACAAACTCGCAGTGAACCGCAGGACCTGTCAGGACCGCACCTCGTTTAACGGGACCTCGGAAAGTTACTTGTTTTACAGAAATATTTGCGTGCAATCATGTCCAAGTTATTTAACCAAGAAACCTAACACCCTACCCCGGCTGCACTACTTTAATATACTAATCGGGGCGCCGGGAAGTACAGGAGACGCGCATCTCTAGAGAGATGCACGAAGTTATCAACCCCCAGGAGTTGCGTCTGGAGTTTAAGCAATCCGCGGCAGGTGTACGGTGTGCTCACGCCAAAATGCAAAAGCAAAAAGGCCGAGTGGCGCGGCTGATCGCTTACTTTCACAACGTGCGCCGCCTCCGAGAGCTTCACCACGTCGTGCCCGCCCAGGTGCCGAGACTCCCCGGGCAGCATGCAGTAGGCGCACAGCGGGGTCCCGTCCGTCGCGCAGAACAGCTCCAGGTCCTTGCCGTGCTCCTCGCACAGCCGGCCGGTGTCCCGGGTGGGCCTCACCAGCACATGCTGGCGGAAAAACTCGTTTTCCGAGTGGGGCATGACGTGCAGGGCGCAGTAGGACTCCCCGCAGGTGACGCAGCTCCTCTCGGCCGGCGGCCGCTGCCGGCCCTTGCACACGCTGCAGGGGACGTCGCCCGGCCGGGCCACAGAGCACTTCTGCACGATGTTGCGCAGGGCCACGTTTTTCCTCAGCTCGATCGTGGCCTCGCAGGGGGCGAGGCACAGGGGGCAGGGGTAGTACGCCCTCCTCCGCTTGGCGCTGTCCGGGGGCACGGCGGCGGAGCGCCTCAGCTGCTGCACGCAGGCCTCGCAGTAGTTGTGCCCGCAGGGCAGGGTCACCGGCTCCACGAAGACGTCGCGGCACACGGCGCAGAGGAGCTCCTCCTGCAGGCTGGCCGGCTCCATGTCTCTGCCCGGTCTGTTCCGCCGCTGAGCTGCAGCAGAAGTACTTGCACGGAGCAGCCAATCAGCGAGCTCCATAAGAGCCCCCCAAAAACTGTTTCCTAGGCGACGCCGCCTTTTCGCCCAGTCCCGCTGCCTGACGTTTATTTATAGCCAACGGACTTTTTAAAGCATTTCTAACGCTTTCTTAAGAGCAGGGCATATATGTATATTGGCTCGATATTGGTTCCTTTATTATTTTGCTTATTTGTAAATGCATATTTGCTTCAGTGACGGACCAACTAAAAACAAAAGTTTAACGGAATTTTAATGAGATGTGTTCACGCCAACCCTTAAGCATTGGTGTTCACATGAGCGGGGGGGGATTGGAGTAAACGGGATGAAACTTCTATAGTGTTGTTAAAATTAAGTGCTGCTTTAAAATGTAATATTTCCAGCACAGGTGCTGAATGAATCCAGTGGCTTCACAGCTCACAGCGCCGAACTGCTCTGTGTTGCCTTAACAACGCAGCACACAGCCTGTAACCTCGCCCCGTGTTTTTACGTCGGTGCGTTCAGCGCCGGAGCCAATCAGGAGTCAAAGCGCAAAAACGTTTTCTTTGAACTCACCAATGAAAAGCCAGCATTGCGCTTCCCTGGAAGGTGAAAGGTCATCAGCTGTTGCAGTTGCTCGAGAAGGATAAATCGTTCCTACAGGTAAAAATGAAAGGCATAGCTTTTTAAAATTCTTGTATTTTTAACAAGTAGTATATAACCTCGAAGATTAATTCTAAAAAAATGTTTGCTTTTTTCGCGTTTTAGTTTGTCCCATGAAATCCGTCTTATTAATGGTTTGAATTAGCTACATTTCATTTACTTAGTTTTCAGTTCAGCTGAACCTTTGGGATAGAAACGCAAGTTTTAGCTTTACAATGGCAACATGTACAGTGGTTTTGACTCTTGCACAAGCAGTCAGCATGTCTGTGAAAATAACGTGATAATAGTAAAGAGCGAGGGGGTTTATTTTTCCAACGCACTTGAGGGAAACTGCATTTTCTAATTAAAATGTCGCGTTTCCTGCTGCTCTCCCCTCTCTCAGCATGAAGGCGAGGTCATCCTCTCCGGTTCACGTGCACTTAGACGAGGCCATCCCCGTGCACGTGCACGTGCAAAGAAGCCAGTCTCTGCCCTCAGCCCCGGAGGTACCAGCAGAGCGGCCTCTGAAGTTACAGCGCCTGGTCGAACAACTGGGCTCAGGAAATATTGCACTAGGGAGTAACGCAGTGGGTCTCGCTGCAGGAGCCTAAGGCTGGTCCACATGCCTGCTGGGTCTTATTCCAGCCCGAGCTTCAAAACCTGAATTGAGCTCTGGAGTTGCTTGATTGGAATATTTGCAAGTTGTCCCCCTACTCAGACGTTTGGGATTTTATCCGACTTGTGCAGTACTGTACTTAAAAGGAAACCCTGAAGATGTTTAAGAGCTGAAAACAGTCAAACGATTCCAAAAAATCTTACATCAGTAAAGCGTTTATATGTGGGACTGAGAGCTCGACTGGAACATAAAAACCGGTGTGCTGCACCCACCTGGATGATGGACGTTGTGAAAAATGCCCCACGGTTTAAATAAACGCTGTTGTAAACTGCTTTGGATGACATTGTCTGCCAAATAAATTTCTACTTGTAAAAAACATCTCAGTCAGCTGTGCTGGGCTTCTTTCCAGCCACACAATCACAAATGTAAACCTTCTGACTGTGTTCAGCTCTTAACTGGAATTTTAAAGTTAACATATATGTAATTAAATAAATTAGTCATTTATTAGTTCAGTTTAGTAGTTGACAGCTCAAGCTGAGTGCCTGCAGACATGGAAGTCACAAGGAAAAAGGCATCTGTAGGTTGGTGGATCTGGCCTTCTGCTAGACAGAAAAATAGCATGTATCCAGCTTCTAGTCACTTTCTGAGTTTCCATTTCATTCATGAAACCAAGTGGAAACCAGCTCATGTGTTGGTTCTGTTTCAGAAATCGCATATTGTCAAATATGCATCAATGTCTAACCTGGAGAAGGACCTCAGGAAGCAGAAAGAAAAGAAGAGGACCAGAAAGACAGTTTGCAGGAGCCACAGCAGTGAGGTGTGAGCCTTAGAAACACCAGAACTTGGTTTCTATGCTCTTTCATGTTCTTAATTGAGAAAATCCATTGTCTTTTTTAATATCAACATTATAATAATAATTCCTCCCACCACCAGTGTGTAATTGCACCAGTCCGTTCTCTACACACCAGCTCTCGGTGAGGAGGAGAGCAGAGATGGGGGTTATTAGGAGGCCATGATTGGTAAAGGCCAGAGGGCAATTTGGCCAGGACACTGGGGAAACACCCCTACTCTTGCCCTGGGATTTTAAATGACTACGGAGAGTCGAAGTCTTGATTTATGTCACATTTGAAGAATGGATAATTCCTTAAACATGTTCTGAAAGCTTGACATTATTTCTGGCAGATTTCATTTTCTGTCTGTTCTTTCCTATTCCTTATAGTTAAAGAAATCCTCACAGAAGCCACAAATCACACCCAAGCAGGCAGAGAAGATCTGTTCAGTGATCCACTCCAGTGACGTGGACTTTCAGAAAGATTTGGATGTGCCTGCTAAGCAGACTGATCGTCTCTTTGAAGAAGCACACAAAAGCAGAAAGGATGTAAGGATATTTTTCTTCTTAATTAAAAGCAGTTAGTATTTACCAAGTGTCTTATTAATTTTAATAAACCTTTCCAGTCCTTGTTACCTAACCTGTTAGTACAGTATATCAAGCACAAAGAATGCTATCTAGAGTCTGTCTACTTTTTGTTGCTAATTAGAGATATTCACATGTAAACAAGGTGCTAATGAGCCTGTAATGAAATGAAACACCTGTGACACCTGTTGGTCTCAGGAGAAATGCACTCATTTACAGATGACTCCAGCAGCCATGTTAATATATTCACACAGAAAGTCAAAAGCTGCAATTCCCCTGCCTAGGTCACAGAAAGGAGGAGGCATTGTGTGTTTGAAGACACTTCGAAGGAGCTGCCTTGGAGCTGTAGCAGCAGCACAGGGGTTCGAGCAGCAGGCCTGACAGAGTATTCGGACGAGCTTGAGAACGCGGCGAAAAACGGCAACGGCAGCCGTCTGCAAACCAGCTCCCTCCCAAGGCTCTCGGAGCTGGACGTGAGCAGGTGGGCAGGCACTGGGCAGCTGACACGAGCCAGCGTGACTGACAGTCTGCAGGTCATGTCTCAAGAATGAAGCACTGGGAGATATTTGGTTATACTGCAACTTGTGGGGTTAATCTTCTATGCCCTGTCTGCTTCTTGGTGAATTCAGGACTATGGATAATCATGTCTTTGCAAACAATTGCTTTACTAATATATGGAAATGGTCTGTTTGATCAACTGTGTTCATTGTAGATGTTGCAAATTAAATTGTATTGCGGTGAAAGACAGATCAAGGTAGGGCTTTTGGAATGGTTTGATTTTGCTGGTTTGAAATATGCACTTCCTGTGACAAAAGAAGTGAGGCAGGTCTGCTTCAAGTCCTTAGGCTGCTAATGGCCATACCCAGCTGGAGAAGGCTGCATGAACCTTGTCACGTCTCACAGAATGGAGAAACTCCAGTTGGGATACCCAGATACCAGAAGCCTCTCTGTACTAAGCAGCTGATGACTTCAGTGTGTGGCTGTGTGAGTGGACAGATTAATCACATGATCTGAGGCTCTAATTAGTCCCGGAGACCTGTTCATCAGTAGCGTTACTGGCTAGCATACGAGTGGCAGTGCTGAGGCACAACAGTGGTTTTGCTTCACAGATTGAGAATAAAACCTTGATTAATACTCTCATGTTCATGCTCAGAGATGATGACGGTGCTGTTGTGGACCAGAGGCTTTTGTTAAGAACTCTCACTGAAGCAGAGTCTGCTGCCAGTTCTGCAGCAGCCCAGCTCCTGTCTTTAAAGGACACTTTGCCTGATTTCTCAAGTGTAAGTTAAAACGTCAGCCCTCGCGGCTTGATTTCATTTCATGTTTTTTTTTTTATGTAACACATAAGTGCAGCCGCAGTGTTTTTATTGGAAGCATATTGAGTCTGCTGCTGTCGCCCCTTCCTTCCCAAGGTGTCGAGGTTTTCTTCTCCTGACGAGCTGAGGATGTCGAGACAGAAAAGTCTGCTGATGGAGAAGCTGGAGAATTTTAAAGGTGTAAATAAATCGCTCCGACAGCAGCTGCAGGAAATGCAGGATCAGGAGGTATGTTTTTTTCAAAAATCACTGTCTTAAAGTCAGATTATTATCTTGTGTCAAGATTCACCTTTGATTCTTCTGCTGCTGTTTTTTTTTTTTAACTCTTAGGCGATCCAACTCCAGGCTGACCGGCGTGTTGAGGTTTTACTGACCAAGCTGACGGAGGCTGAGGCTGAAAACCTGGTGAGCTCTTGGGCTAGCGGCAGTGATCGCTCTCTCCAGCTGACAGCCAACAGTGTCTAGCTTTAAGGAAGTGAAACTTCTTTATACATTTGCGTTATGCACTGTGCAAAGGGGTAAAATTGCAGACTTTGCCAATAGCAATACAACAGCTGCCGAGTTGATCGGTACCGTTGTAAAGTATACCGTGATAAACGCTGCGCGGTGGAGGGGTTTGAACGGGGGAAACTGGAAACGATGGTGCTGACGCAGATTTTTTTCGAATAGAATTTAAGACGCCATCTAAGAGAAAATGAGCGAAGGATTGAAGAGCTGCTGGATTTGCGCAAGAAAGAAAGGGTGAGTGAATTCAACGGCTATCAATGCGCCAGGTGTGTTTTTCATGAGGAAGGCCAGAGCCTGTGGTGTGTGTGTGTGTGTGTGTGTGTGTGTGTGTGTGTGTGTGTGTGTGTGTGGGGGGGAAGAATCAGTTCGCTGGCGATGTCAGCAGCCAAATGTCCTGCTATTTAAATGTCCAAAAGTCCTGCTATTTAAATGTACGTATATAATCCACAGTTGGTGATGTGTGATCATGCATTTGAGTTTGAACAAAGAAACCTATTAATTATAGCTGCAACGAGATCACAAAGTTAATGTGAAAATGAAAAAGAAACATTTTTGGAGCAGGTACACTAATATTTTATTAAATACACATGACATAAGCAAATTCATATAGGTGATTAGCAATTATCTGCATCAGAAGGTCTACTGCAAAAGTCGCAGGATTGTAGCATGTGTGGCCAACATTAGAAACAATATGAACTGGACATCCGCAGCACATCCTTTGCAGATGCTGTCCTGTGGAATCGTCTGGGCTCTGAGCCCTAGATGTCGGATTCAGCAGGCTAAATCAACTCGCCCCTTGTGGTGCCCAGTCAGCTCTCTTACTAGTTCAACAGTCATTGTCACTTGAGTATACATTTGGTCAGTCACAAATGATCGAGAAATCAAAATGATGCCAAAATCTTAATATCTAAAATCTGCATTATTTTTTGTCAACACATACACACATAAATAGAATGATAGAAGGCTTTATTAGTGTCAGTACTAATAAGGGTGGGGCCAGGAGCAAAGCGCTATGGGACACCTGCTGGGACCAACTTTGTCGAGGAGAAACAATGACCAATTTAGCTGAATTGTTTTCTGACAGTATTTATATTAACCAAACAGTACTAATAATACCGATAATCTGTCTGCAGTTTATTCAGCAAATTGGTATTAACAGTCGTACAATTACAAATAAAAGTGGGTCAAGAATTTGTAAAAAACAAAAGTCAGCAGTGATCAGTAAATTGTTAGTAACCCTATTGAGCTTTTGTATTGTGTATCAATATGACTACAGCCTGAAAATGACCCAAACAGCTGCAGATAGATGAGCTTGTAACCGAACAGGAGTAGCCTGTTCTCATCTCTTTGACTAAAATGGTATATTAGAAAGCAGCTGATAATTACTGAGCCTACATTTTTAACAGAGGGATGACTGCAGGTTTAAGGGCAGACAGAGCAATTCCAGATGTCAGTAATCTATTGCTGATTATTCATGTGTAACGGCACAGAGAATTGAAAAATTTAAACAAGGCCAGACTGAGGGAGCAGGATGAGGAACAGGAGGTTTCGAGTTAGTAGTTATTTCAGAATGCTGCTGATGAAAGATGGCATGAAACTCTGAAAGCATTAAACCCGACAGTAATACGCTATGTGTAAGTGGAGTCACTTCAAGGTCCAGTCTGAGGGCAGGGCTGTTGATGATACTGCACTGTTCGCCAGGAGAATACAGAGACCGTGGTGCAGCTGTCGAAGTCCGTGGAAGCCACTCGGGCACACCTGCAGGGACAGCTCCGTCACAAAGAGGCCGAAAACAACAGGATGGTGGTGCAGTTACGGGTAAGAAGAGTCCCAGACGCATGTCCCCTTACTCTGCACTGTTTACATTCATCCATGCATTCAGGATCATAGGGAGCCGGAGCCTATCCCAGCAAGCAAGGCAGGATGCACCCTGGACAGGAAGCCAGTCTATATGAAGCCACACACAGACACAAACAAACTCACACCTGGGCCAGGTTTCACAGAAGACAAGTAACCTACCATCATGTCTCTGCACTGTGGGAGGAAACCAGAGCATGCACAGGAAACGCATGCGAACATACAAACTCCACGCAGATGGTACCCCTGGTGCCGAATCGAACACGGGGCCCCAGCTCTGCAAGACAGTAGAGCTAACCACTGCGCCACCTTGCCTCCCTGCACAGATTACACACAGCTAAACCAGCTGTGCTTCTGGATCCCATCCCACCACTGTTTCAGAAAGACTGCTATTGAGATGAGGCCTTTCTCTCTTACCGCACTCGTATCCTCAGTGATGTGTATTAAAACACAGTTCAGGGTTGTGTAGGTTTGCAGACTTTCTACTGTGGTGTGGATTCGCTCTTTGATGGACTTTGCTTCATTTGTGGCAGTAAATGTTTATCTGTCCCTTTAAGACTGACAAACCTTTTGAGATTGAAATTCACTTCATGTTAACAATTATTATGTCGTTTTTTAATCTGGTATGACTAGTAACATATATGTGGGTATTTTGTTTTCTGTGTATTCTTTTTAAGCATGAGCTAAATTAATCACACCATGCAATTTTACAGGAAGGCATTTTGCGCATCCATTGTAAAATGCGTATGTAACTTTTTCTCTCTAGAGTTTGGAGAGAACAGTAACTGAACACAAATTGGCGATTGAGAACCTGAAGCGCCAAATGTCGGCTGCGCTGGACAAAGCTGCACAGGAGAAGCAGGCTCTGAAGAAAGCCACCAGAGCCCAGAAGCACAGAGCCCAGCGGTTTGAGGCTGCCATTGAAAAGTGTTACAGTCAGCTCAAAGACAAGGTAGGACTTTGGGCTGGAATGATCAAGGAGTGGTGAATTTTGATGAATTAATGACTTACTTTTGCCTAGCCTGGTAAAATACAAGTCCAGTTTCTCAGTAAGTTCAGTAAGACCTGTAGGACAGGCAGGTATATTGCACATGAGCAGAGTTGGGATTTGAAAACTGGGGGAGGGGGGCAGTTCAGGCAGAGGTGTAGAAGACCTGATCCAGAGTCCATCGAAAGATGCATAGAAAACCAAGACCATTAGATGTCTATTTTACTCAGGTGTTGAGTAGAAGAGTGTTTCTTTCCTCCATGTTCAGTGATGAACTCTCCGAGTTCCCCGCAGGAGAATCCCAGACTGTAATGTGGTTGTTCTTGTGCTCTGTTTTCAAACATTGGTTCTCTCCTGTAACCGTCCTTGCTTGCAGTAGCCATAAGCTTCACTATCCACTGTGGATTCGCGAATGGCTGTCTAAACTCTTTCCTGTGAACTATGTGTTGTGTGTATTAAGGATGTGAAGCTGACCGAAGCGCTTTCAGCAGCTGACACATGGAAAAGACATCACGAGATGGCCAGAGAGGAGAAGGCACCGCTGGAGGCCAAGATTGCGGTGCTTCAGCTGTAAGTGGGGTCAAACTGCAGTCCCGAGACGAGAGAGGGAAGAAATCCAAACTGTGTAGGCCAGCGGCTCCCAGTCCTGGTGAGCCACGCTCCTGCGGGTTTTCCATCCAGCCCACCTTCAGCAGACAGCTGAAAAGAAGTTGCATCAAGTGAATATTTGCATTTTGTTTCTAGTCACAAGTTTGGGATTTTTATTTCGGTTTCAAAATACAACAGGTAAAGCTCCAATGTGTTTAAGAGCTGGGAACAAACACATCCACATTAATCTAATTATTATCGAGTCAGTGAAGTGTTTGATTGTGTAACTGCGAGCTTACCAGCAGGTAACCAGGACTGGGAACCACTGCTCTAGGCAGAAACAAGTCATGTTCAGGATGATGAAGTGGTCTAATTAAACCAAGTACGCCTGCTGAAATGACCGGGTTTTGGATTCAGGAAAGCAGTGTGTCAATGCAGATGGTGTGGGAGTGGCCAAGAAACTGGTTCCTTCAGGTTTCAGCTGTGTGGTTACTGTCAGAAAGAGATGATATTATGAAGAGACACAGCTCCTAGACCATCTTACAGCACTTTCTGCTTTGAGAAAGTCAAAATGACTCATTATACATCTTTAATAGACTTCTATTTCAACCTTTCATTTGAACCCTGTATACTCTTCTTTTATTGCATGCTTTTGAAATACCAATATTTTATATTTTTAACTTTAACGCAAATTATTCAGTTTGTGAAGTTCTTTTTGAAAGTCCAATATTCAAAATAGGTGCCATCAGGGATAAAGTTAGCTCTTCAGGAGAAAATGAAAGGTTTTTCAAGTGCTGCCCCCTGGAGCTGCTCCACTGTGTCTGTCGCTCTGGGGAGGTGACACTCCGGACCTCGTGTCCCAGCCGGAGCACAGCTGGCTGCAGGCGTCCTGCTGGACAGCTCCCGAGAGCTGAGCCCATTCATCATCTCATTTCCTAATGTTATGCAGAGTCACCGACACAACACTAGTTTAACAGGCTGATTCGATTGTGTTGATTATATGATTATATTTCAAATTATTTGAAAAAGGGAATAAAAAATGCTTTAGTAGCAAACTTTCAATTGCTTAGTATTATCAGAACACTTGCAACACCGATGGAATAAAATGTGCCATAACCTGTACAACAGATTTACAGTGTCTTTATAATGAATATACAGTATTTACCTGCTTTAAGTTGGAGTGTTTCTTCTGTAATTGCTGGACCTCTGTGGGTGGCATAGTGTGGTTGACATGTCCTTGGTCTCATGGCTGATGGGTTGTGGGTCTAAGTCCCTGCTGCAGACTCCAATGTTGTATATCAAGTGAGGTACTATACCTCAGTTTCTACAGCCTTCCCAGATGCACAAGTGAGGACCAGTGTTGCTGAGGGGATCTTCCCTACGATTAATCAGTGTCCCACCCAGAGGAGGAGTCACAAGCTCTCTAGACTGCTTAATGCCACAGACACCAGGATGAGCTCTAGACTGATGAGCAGATGTGTCTCAGATATGGAAGTAACTGATAATTAAATACTTTACAATTTGAAGGCACTACTAAATTACATGTCAAAATACAACCTAGATGTTGCATGTTTTGACCTGCGTTTTGGCAATTCTAAGAATCGTGTGCACTAAGATTTTTTTGTTAAGGAAATAAAAATAAGTTATAGCCCGATTAATTTACGAAGCATGGTTCTTTGCTCCTTAAGGCAGATCACGGACCTGACTGAACAGCTGAAGACGGGAAAAGACAAGGCTAGAATTTCAAATGAGGATCTCCTGCAGAAAGTGGAGAAACTTCACTCTGATAATGCCGACCTGAACCTTGAAAATGCCAGATTGATGGTACATTGTCCTGCCACATTGTGAAACAGCACACCGCTGTGTACTGTAGAGGACAGAAAACAAACACTGCTGGGGAGAGTTTCTGTCCAATTAGAATCTATTGCAGTTGGACCTGTCTGCTTACTTTTCTAAAAATTAATAAGAAGATTGGGAAATTGTTTTTAGGAGCTAATTTACTGCTTATAAATACTACATAAGTTATAACAAGAAGTTGGGGATCATTCATTTTTAAAATTGAAAATTTTAACTATAATGGACTGCTTTTTAAATGTAACTTTCTCCAACACTGGCTTGAAATATTAAACTATTTAAATTTTATCCAGATCTTGGGGCTTTAATATATATATTAAAATCCTGAACGTCAGAGCTTGCCTGATGAATTCTGATACAAATCCAGCACCTTGTCCCAAGTCTGTGCACACAGGCTGCAGAGGCCTTTGTAGTGACTGTGGTTGTGTTTAGTATCTTCTGCTGTTTCACTCATGTAACAGTTACAACCCCATTCTCTGTATACACTTTAATTGCCTGTGATTGTTATACGCTTTTAAGTATTTTTATTACTCCAGTAAATCCATTGAACGTCTTTCTTTTTTATCATTAACACATATGTCTGTAAACTGTGTAAGGATAACTTTTATGACCTATTATTGCCATTGCAGGCCTTCATAGCTGATCTAGAGGAGAAACTAAGTGTTTCGCAGGCTGAGGTCCAAGAACAAGTCTCAGTGTCCCATCAACAGAAGGATCTCCTGGAGCAGTATAAGACTCAGGTAACAGGGAAACAATTACTCGTGCCAATATCCTGCTGGGAAAGTGCCCTTCCATAATGGAATTATCTCTTCAAGGCCAATACGAGCATCCTGATTCCCAGTTGATGGAGACGGTTGGAGTGGGTTCCTGTAACGTTGCTTTGCCTAACCCTTCATCTGCTTCACTGTGTTTCACGACTGCTAGACCTGATCCTCGGTCTCCAATGCTAGGGACCAGAATCACACATCTTGAAAGCTGACCTACAAATTAACAGATTTTGATATTGCATCATCCTGTAGTTGTGAAATGAAAATGTTAGCTTCTTTTGTTAAAAAACCCACCCAGTCTTGACAACCACTGAAAAAAATCCTTATGAAACTTCACTAAGAAGATTTTAAATGTGTTTTTTTTTTCTGTAAGGTGGAAGGGAACATTTTATGTTTTTTATTTAGTAATTTCATGTTTTTGTGTTGTACCAGGTAAAACATCTGTCTATTTAAAAGCTGTGTCAGGATGTTCCAGTTGTGAAGTGATTGATTGTTATTCATCTGATATTATTCAACTTCATTGAAAGTTTAATCCTGTGTTGACGCATATATGCCACTTTCCCGCTTATGTTTGTCTGTATTAGTAAGACCAACCTAATAGCACTTATTCCATTTGCTAAAAACTTTAATTCATCAGCAGTATTTATCTGGGCTGAGGTTTTATTTTTGGAACCACCAAACCGAATCTTCTTCCTTTTTGTGGGAGTTACATAAATGGAAAATATTTATTCTTATTCACACTAAGAAACAAATGACCAAGACTCTTTACTCTTATTTGAAAGAGTCTCTTTATGCCTTAGCTATGTATTTAGCAGTAATACAACATTACATTTCTTCTTTAGGTAAAGGAGCTGCAGAAGGAGGCCGATGAGCTAAAAACTAGATGTGAGAAAGTTTTAATAGAAAATAAGAGGGTCAAAGAAGGCAAAGACACAGATGTTGAAAAGGTAATTGGTGTTTTTTTTTAAATTGTTTTACAGATCTAAGCTTTTATTCTTTAAAGAGGACATTCTGAGAGCATTACTAATGCACACTGATGTAATACTTTGACACGCTGGATTAGAGAAGAGAAAGTGCGCAGAGCAGTAGAGTTGAAGTTGTGCCGTCTTTATCTCATTCTGAGATAGCACCAGGTATCTCCCTTGACGTGATCTGATAAAGCTTTGTTATTGCTAGCCGGGGAATTTATAGACTTTTTTCCACACAAATTAGAAATAATGTCTGTTTTATAACTACATGGAACGAAGTTCTGGGATATTGTAATAAAGAGGATTTGATTTTGGCTTCATCAGTCTTGCTGCAGCACCATGGGAATTTAAAACAGGTGTACATCTGAGGAGAAATGTCTTTTTCCAGCCATCGCTTTCAGATGTTTTAAGCTATAGTGACACATGTAATGACTACGGCGTGGAAAAAGCATATCGGAAGGGAACCAGGTTCACTCTGTGATGTCTCTGCAATGCAGGTGTGGGCATGAAGAATTAACAGCCCCTCTTTAAGACTGATAATACCACATATTTAAACAATCTCTAGTGTGTGCTTAGAGCAGTGGTACAATGGGTCATGGGTTTCAGGCTGGGGTTTCTAAAAGTGGTTCATTTCCTCACTTAGTTACGCAGTCTAGGGGAAATGACGAGATTTAAAAAGTGAACAATAGGGCCTGAACGCACCCTTGTTGGGGGGTTGTGTGCTGGTGTTTTGTTAAGCAGCTACAAAGTCATGGTTCATTATTGATGCCTGAGGCCCCTTCCATTACTAGGAAGGCTTCCTAAAAATAGGAGAACTGGGAGATAATATAGAAAAGTTTACCTGTGTACAGATCTGTTTCTCTTGTTTTGCGATCTGAGAGCGTTGTGTGAGAGGTGTGCATTAACAGATGTTTGCCCACACTTGGAACAGGTCAAAAAGCAGCTGGAGTCTCGAGTGAAGGAGCTGGAAGTTTATCCTGATTTACTGAAGGCAGCTGAGCAAAGGCTGCAGGACTGCCAGGACAAGCTCCTGCGCTGCGAGAGAAGATGCTCAGACAAGTCAGATTCTGTTAGTCAGCTGCAGGTTAAGGTGCATATGGACAAGTACCCATTAATGGCCTTTTCACTCGAGGGGAATGGCCATTAACAGCTTCCACCCACTAGGTGGCAGTCATGCCTAGTGTACAGCATTTCCTCTGCCACGCCATTAATGCTTGTGAATGCTGTGAATCTGTCCATCTGCCTTGAGCTGAACTGGTCTGGTGCAAAGCACTGTGCTGATGTTTGGCAGTAATCATCTTGCATGTTTTAATGTAATTCCTAAATTCACCTCTAAAAGCTTAATTTGCATGAATCTTGTGTGAGGGAATGCCTTTGGCATCTTTGTTTGTATGCACAGACAAGCCCAGCTGAATCGTAGGTGTTCGTAAAATTCAGTGATCTGATTTGCATACATAGCTGTGTGGTGGTATCAGTCTGAGGTGGTGTCATGAATAATGATCTTGTCTTCAAGCTAATAAGAAAAAAGTTTGAAGTGGAAGTTTGAATTTATAGCTTTTAGTATTTGAATGTAATCATTATAGATCAAGGTGTGGTGCAAAACAGAAAAAACTTGAGCTGCACCCTTGTTTCTGTTACTTATATATAGCTTGAGGTAAATGGATATTGAACTTAATTTATGCTACATATACAAAATCATGCTTTCATAGAAATGGTAATGTTATTATAGTTACTATTATGATACATTGAATTGATTAGGTTTATTGTGAAAGAGGAACATCTGTGAAGAGATTTTAGGTTTGCGTCTTGTCAGAACCATGTTCATTTACTGTATGTTGCGCCCCATTCTGTTTTTTGAACATGCTTTAGCAGAAGAGCTGCTTGCCTCCATCTGGACAATAACATCTGTGTGTCTGCAGGTGGACCAGCAAGCTGAGGAGCTCAGATCATCCCTGGAGGTGAAGGACTCCCTGCAGGAAGACAACCTGCAGCTACAGCTCAGACTGGCGGCTCTTCAGAGGTAACTTTGATGAAATAAAAGAAACGTTCGGGAACCTTTTGGGCCGTAAAGCACTCCTGAGCTTTGTTATATCCCGTGTTCCCAAAGTAAAATAGAAGAACTGGAGTCGGGAAACCAAGAGCTTGTCCACAGACTGGCCAGCCAAGAGGAGGCTCTTCAGTACAGTGGGAAGCAGCTGGAGGAGAGGTCAGCGGAGAGCCTCTCTCTCTCTCGCCAGCTGGAGGCGGCTTTAGCAGATGTCAAACAGCAGGTAGGGCTGTCTGTTTAATAACACAAAGTGACTTTGTCTACAGATACCCTGTTCCTCATCATCAAACACAGTTGCTAATGAAGCAAATGAATAGCATAACTGGATGAACAGTCCATGGGGAGCGATGAACTTGTTAGCAAGATCACATGAAAAGAAAAGGATGACTGGCAATATTAAGTCTAACCAATACAGTATTGCCCAGGCGAGACTGGGATTCCTGTCCCTGCACCACAGAGCAGTGCCAGGGCCTTGCCTGATGGCAGGGTGACTGAGTAAATATCTGAGCTCGGCACAGACTGAAACTGACAGTATTGTGTAAGTAGTGATGAATTAAGCTCAGTCCAAGTGTCTCCCTTTTGCTCAGTGTCTGGGATGGCTGCTGCTTTTCTTGAATTATGGTCTTGAAAGATTAAATGTAACGATGCGTGGCAAATTGGAACATCACAGGTTATAAAATAAAGTACTGTATATTGCAGAAGAGTGTAATTCAGGAAGCTGTCAAGCTGGTTATTTAAAGGAATATCTTGCTAGCTTTTTTTCTGGCTGTGATGTGAGAGATTCCTCACTGATGTGAAAAACCACACCTCGGGATGTTTCTGTTTACTGTGCCACAGGATCATTCCCATATTGTCAGATTGTCCTTTCGTAGCAAACGGATTATAAAGAGTAGAAAGGGCAGGCTTGGAAGAACTGAGCTGGGTTTTTTCCAGTTGCTGTATTTCAGCTGAGCACCCACAGGTGTACCTAATGCTGATTTAGTGAGCCAAGTGGAAAATCTGAAGCAAACCTTCGGGCTGTGTCTCCCCTGCCCTCTGTGACCCTCCTGTCAGGGCAGCGCCTCCGAGTACGTGAGGATGTGAATCTGCAGAGCAGTAGTGAATAAAAGGCACTGCATTTCGTAAAGAGCTGTACTGGAAGCAAAAGTATTTAGGGAGGGAGGTGTTGGTAGTATTTACAGCTGACCAGATCTCAGGGAAATCAAGCACGAGGCAAACAGAATCGGCTTCACTGATATGAAGCGGTCATTTCCTGTATGCTGACTGTCGACAATGTGCACTGCAGTGTCCTGCCAGTTTTAGGTTTCTATGAGTACCTTTGAGCATGGAGGGCAGTCCAGTTTGTTTTTCCTCTCATCCTGAAGGGCCCAGTTCCATTTGCACCTCTGTGAACCCTGTGAGTTTTACCGACTCGTCCTCTCGCTGGATGGGCACCACTTGCGTGGTGTAGCCATGCCTGGATCCCACAGGCCCCCCGCTGGCCTCGGCCTCGGCCTGCTGCACAGACCTCAGCCGATGTCCTTCCTGCTGGGAATGGGGTGGCAGACGATCCAGAAATCCGGCAGACTGGCATGTCGTGGGATGCTGCCCTGTGACCCACACGCCACTCCGGCACCCCCCTCCCCTTCGAGCCCAGCCAGTCGCGTCGGCCCTGCTGGAGCTTTTGTGCCCCGCGCTGGGGTGCAGTTCGCACCTGCAGTGTATACCAGGGAGCTTAACGCACTGCAGACCGACATCCGTCTAGGAGATCAGCTCTGTGAGTGCAAGAATCGGTATGTTCTTAATTTCTGGTTTCCCTTTGTATTCCCTGAGGTTTCTGAAGTGAAGGACAAGGCCCTTGCTAGAGAAAGTGTCCTACAGAGCAAAATCCTGGAGCTCGAAACAGAGAAAAGCAGAAAAGACAAGGAGTTAAAACAGCTGCGGCAAAGCAAGCTGTCGGTGAGTATTTTTGGCATTCTTATTTCCCAGCTTCCCTGGCTGAGCCAGTGCCGGCGATGTAGTGATATAAAGCATGTGGCTGTGTTGTTGTTTAGCACCTCTTAATGTTAGTGGGTTTTTTTCATTGTTAATTTAATTTCCTTTTCAGATGTTAAGCCTGCATTCCTTTATCTGCATCTGCCTTTTGATCTCTTGCTTTTTCGTCTCCCTGTGTTTTTCCGATCTTTGCCGCTGATACAGAGGCCCTCAGTGCCGGTAAGAAATGATAATAATGAATCATGTCGTGGCAAGTACACTTGACTAAAGCTGACTGTACGTTAACCAATGGAAGCAGGTACCTGGTGTCTTTATTTAGCTTTTGTTTATGTAGTGCTTTCATTCTTTTTGTCTGCCATTGCTTTGAATTGCAAGGCCTTGTACCAGAAGTGACATTTTCATTCTTTGGGTAGTTGCATGATGGCATTGATTTATTGGACCTGCACACTTAGAAGTCAAGAGGTCAAGTCCTCGGTTTGTTCTCCAAGCTCTTTAGAGCCTGTTCCAGCTATTGGCTGCAGGCAGTCAGGGCTGGATGCCTGATTTGCGTCATGTGTTCCCATATATCCACTTGAGTGGCTGGCTGGTATGCTGCCTATCTGCAGTGCTGCTCTTCAGGGCTCCTTGAGTTGTGCTTTAACTGAGCCTGTCACAGCAAATGACCTGAATGGACAGAGAAGAGCACAGAGCTCTGAGGCAGCTCACCCTAATTCCAGGCAACCATCAGCAGTGCCGGTTTGGGGCCTTTTCCATGTTTTCAAAATACCTGGAGGAATTTTTTTCTCATGGATTTTTGCACAGTACGCATTCTCGTCTCGAATTCGGTAATGGACAGAGTGCGTGTTTTAAGTGCAGTGTAAAATGACAAGGATTTAGAATGATGCGGTGTTGGTTGGATTAAAAAACCTGGATCGTTAGTGCACCACAGGACTGGGGTTTGGTGAAGCTGCTGGGGGTCCTTTTTCCTTTCCTACTGGAATAGTTATCTGAAGCTGTTTTTCTGATGCCCTGTTCTGGAAAGCATAGCAGGTCAGCTACCACAGGATTAAAATATAGTTGCTCGTGACCATGGCTGAGACTTTCCTGAACTATTTGTCAGGCTGAAGCTAGTTGTTTGAGCCTTAGGGATTGCATCGGCACATGTGGTTCTGCTCATAATTCTGAAAAACAAATCTGTTTCTGTCATTCCAAACATCTTCTGTTCAGTTTGCTTAGTGTTTTTCGTTTGCTGGTTAAGTCTTGTGCTTCTGTGATTTAAGGTGATATTAATAACATTAAAGTCTTACAATTAATCCCACATGTGTGCTTTAAAACCTTCATGTACATTTTTAAAGCGTCTGGGGGCCCGATAGCAGGTCTTCATCGGCAGGCTCCGTTTCTAATTGTATCCAGAAATCCCCATTGCGACATCCTCACGTCTTTCTCAGGAATCAGTGGAACACCAGAGGATACCAATGCAAAGATGTTTCAACAACATTCAAGAAACGACAAGTAATTTGTCGTTACAGTAAAATGAAAGCAGCAATTGATAAGGGGACCTTATTTCTCATGAAAGGAGAAAGTCAGTAAACATGCCATATTTACAGATAATCCATAAATATGTGGAGTTGTAAGTACAGCAATGCAATAGATGTTAGACATATGACAAAATTCAGGACTGGGCAGATCTGGCAAATTAAATTTAATGTGGATAAATACATGGTATTACTTGTTGGAAGCAAGAATGTACAATTCAACTATGAGACGAGTACTATTAAATTAAAAGGAGTAATAGGCCTGTAAGAGAGAGAAGTAGGAGGTTATAATCATTCATTACTTCAGGTAGACTGTATGGGAAAGGCCAACAATATGGGTTTGTCTTCATGTCTGGAAAATGCAGCCTCAATGAGGAATTATATGTGAAACCAAATCAAGTCTTCACTTTTTCAAGCAGGAGAAGTATCATTTTGCATACTAATTATATCCACATAAAACCCATTGCTTTGTAAATCAAACACCTGCTGGAATTGGGAAGCCAGGACTGGATTTGAGGAAAACAAGACAGCGTATTCCAAACCCGTCTAATTTCTCAATGACTGTTGAATTCCACTACAAGTGGAATTAGAGACATTCAAGACAGACAACGGGAGACACTACTTTACACAGAGGGTTGCGGGAGTCTGGAGCCACGTTCCAGAACATGTGGTTCAAGCTCACCCAGTGGGATCCTGTCAAATTAGCAAGACAGGCCAAATTGCTTTCTGTCTTTTGAATTTTTCTGATCTTCTAATAAACATTTTCTTCTCTTTCTGTAGAGCCACATCATTGAACGCATTCGTGAACATCTTGCAAAGACTGAGTTGGAAATGGAAATAAAGAGAAATGAGAAGCTAAGCCTTTCTCTCTCTCTTTCTTTTTCAGGCGGAAAAGCAGTACGAGATCCGATTAAAAGACTTGCAGCTAAGTTTGGACCAATCGGAAAGCCACAAACAGAGCATCCAGAACTATGTGGATTTTTTGAAAAATTCATATGCCGCTATGTTTGGGGAGGGAATTTCATCAAATTTTGGAGCATCATCTTTTTAAAAATAGTTTATTTTCTACATTTTGTATGCTGAATTGTGAATTATTCAACTTATTAATATATAATATTTTTGGGACATTTAAGTTTAAAGTAATAATTAGATTTTTTTTACATAAAGTTTTACATTTTTGTGATCAGTGTTGCACAGTATAAAATCGCAATCCGCTATAGTTACAATTTTGTTTTGAATTATAATAGCTTCAATCTTTCAGCCATTTGAAGACTGTCATGAACACTAAAATGTATTGCCCAGTTCAGTCACATAAGTTGATCTTAATATTAATGATTGAAGCTTACAGAACTGTTCAACAACGTTTTCAAAACACTTCTACCAGCTTCAAAATGTGCTTCCAGGCTGCTATTAAATGTGCCGGGCTTAGGACGGTATAATTTTCTCAACTCGTTAAAATACAGCTCTAATATCTTTTAGGCATGAGCAGATTAAGAAAATGTTTGGTAACATTAAAGAAAGTAAGTTGCTCTACAGGGCTTTGGGAATCTATTATGGGAATCACACTGAAATGACTTGATCAGTCATTCCAGAACCTTTGAAAACTGTTATATCTTGATATTTCAATATGAAATGCTCAATAAATGTGAATAATCACATCTACTTTATTAAGACCTTGACTGGTGTCTTGCACATGTTGGAAGTATGAGCAGTATGTGCGGTAGATAGGTAAACATTTTCCCATTGAAAAGCTACAGACCATTGAATGCTGTGTTTAAACGAGAAGGCTTGCAGTGGTTCATTTTCTATGGAATTTTCCATTCCAGTAAACAGAGTGCAGGTATCCGAAAGGATGAATGTCTTGGTCCTGTGGCGTTTAAGGCACAGTGACCTCAGACCTCCTGTCTTGCCCATCATGACCTGTTTCCATATATAGCCTCTTGGGCTTTTTAAAGAAATACACGGCTCAGGGACCACACACACGGTCTCTGCTCCATGAAAAATGGGGAGCATCTTAAATGTGTAATTCCTTTCCCATTAAACTAAATCCGTTTAAAACAATACATACTAAAAACTAAAAAAAAATGTTTTATTACTGTTAAACTGGAGCATCTTGATTGGGCTTCCATCACCAAAACCCCCTTTCCCATTCAGTGCTTGAAGAGCAGGCAGTCCTGAAAGATCAGGCATCGACGTTTCTGTCTTTGTGAACGTGAAAGGAGTCGAAGTGAGAGCTGTTATTATCTGGTGTTCGGAAAGAGGGGCGAAATGCCCCGGGTTTGGTTTCCCACACAAGCAAAGAAGAACGTTTGCTTTTGTTGTGAAGGTACACGCTGGGAATCTTTGCTGCAGGGCTGTACCTGTTCAAGTCATACTGGGATGAAAGAGGCTTGGAATCAGAGTGTAGGATTGATAAGTCTGCCTTAAAACACAAAGTTCAAGTCCAATGCAATGGCGAAAAATACAGTTGCTTTTTATACTTATTGTTCCAGATGGGAAATTTACTTTACAGCCAGGTAACCAAACACAATACATAATACACGTAACACATCATGAACCCATTAGCAAAGAAGAGTCTTACATGCATAACACGTATAAGATAAGAAAAACACGTTAACATCTTTAAATAATTCTCACAATTTAGGAAGAGGATGCAACGGATACATACATGATGAAAAAAGTAAACTATAGTTTACATAGTCCAAATTTAACAGTTTAATAGCTGTGGGAATAAATGATAACTTGGGTCAACTGCACTGAAATCTTGGTGGTTTAAATTGATGCGCTGATGGAAGGATCTCAAATTCACTGTACAACTCATTCAGCCTTGGGATAAAATGGACCAAAGTGTCCAAACTCACTCCTCACCATTCTGACTTAGTTCTGAAAGGACAGAAATGGTGCAAAAATCCACATGGCCTGGCAGAACTTGTACTCACTGAAAAGTGATCCGCTCGTGCTGTGCGGGTGGGCTTCTATCTCAGGGAACTGAGAAGGATGTTCTGTTTTGTCTTCAGTTCCATCATGTGAAGCCTAATCTTTTCTTAGGTGTAGGGTCTAAGAGAGGCTCCTGGGGGAGTCATGGCTGTGTCCCTGTATTCACTGTGCCGCCCTACCTAGAAGGATTTCTGTAGTCATGTGTTCAAAAACATTTTCAGTTTTCCTTTTTATATTGATTTATATGTTTTGGTGTATTTGAGGCTGAATTATTTTGCTGTATTTCTGCCTATGTATACTGTATAACCTACTATATTTATTTCTGAGGGTAAATAGATGACATTCTGATGTTAGAGCACTGCCTTCATCAAGCCCAAACGGATGACAAGTCTGACAGTTCAAGATTCGGCCTGTCTGGTGGGTCGTTCTGCAGTGCCCTTCCTCAGTTTATTAAGGTGTCTTTAGCTTTAGTTTACCCTCCAACGAGTATTAGCCTCTGTGACAAAACCATTAAATTACCTGTCAGTCTTAAAAGCAAACTTTGGAGTATTTTTCATCTGGCGTATATCGATGCTCAGTAAACACTGCTCCTGGTACCTGTTGGTTTTTAAACACAGGAAAGGCTCGTTTAAACAGCAGATGGTAATGCCAGGTTGGTATTTTCCTGCACATAGCATGAAAATCAACTTGGACGGTGCAAGTCCTTCTGACTTCCTGCAAGTCCGACTTCGTGGCCGTCTGTGAAACAGATTTATTGCTGAGCAGCAGGCTGCCCAGACAGGCTGTGTTGACTGGTGTCTGCTGTGTTCTGCACATTTCACAGAAGTATGTACTGTATGAGTCAACATCCTAAGAGTTACATTTCACATGTGCGATTGGCAGGTAGGCAAAGCTGTGGTCCAAGTTGCTCCCTCCAGATAAGGGTGGAGCAGATGCCAAGCTCACACGATCTCCACTGACTCAGAATGAGAGGAAAGTAGCAGATAAAAGAGGGTCTTGGGCTGCCCTGCGATTGCTGTATTGGCTGAGTACAGTACAGTACAGTTGGCCCCTCGCCTGCACATTACTGGCGAGAGATTTCTAATTGGACGTTCAAGGTTTGTGAACATGAGAGAATAAAATGGTTTCAGACTGCAGAGCGGTAAGAGGTCTTGTGCTATTCATCATGCTCCCTGTTTAAAGGGGATTGGAACAAAAAGCAGCTGGTCTCGTCACCACAGCCTCCTGTGTCTGGACCAGCTTCCTGGCTGGCAGTAGTCACGCACGTGGGTGATGTTTTATTATGCTTGGGATAATTTAACCCTCAATTCATATGGGATTACACATTAATTTAACATCACATCCATTTACTGTAGCTTTCGGTGATCGTTCAGCTAAAATAAACATTGGCTTCTGTATGGGAATTAAAACTGTAGAAATTGCACCTTGTCTTCCTTTAAGCAGTTTATTTCCATTTATGAATTTTTAGATGGTAACTTGCCTCCTGGAAGCAAGCCTGGAGCCAAACGTTCTCTGACACACACATATGGGAATTAAAGGTAAACTGTGAGTCTTTAATTAGAATTTGTTGTTGAATGAGCCCTAACTTATTGTGTGTTAGTATTAATTGAGTATGGAACTGCAAATAAGGTGTCGCCCTCATGTGTTTTCAGCACATGTGCAGGAGCGAGCGAATGCCCAGTTGCCCTCCTGGCTGTTGCAGCGGTGCGAAGCTGCGATCCTGCCAATGGCCACATGCCCACTACAGCAGCTCCCTCGAGGTGCACCGCAGACACGTTCCTGGGCCCACTCTCACGTGACCTCACCGCACCGACGCCCGAAGGATCCTAGTCCACTATCCATGACAGGGCTGTCAAGGCCTTACGCACTCAGGTAAGTTGAAAATCCACACTTGAGGCAAATGAATCTCAACACCATAAAAATTATTTGAATTTTTGGAGTGAATAATACTTTGTTAGCTGACTTCTCATTCTCAGTCCATTCAGGAAAGCTTCTTATTGTGATACACCATATGCACAAGAAACCAGTAGCAAAGTTTGGGCTACAGCTCAGAGATTATGAAAGCTTGAATTCATTTCACACCTCAATATAATGACTAATACACCTGTCTAAATGAACAAGACAGACACAGTCTGGAGATCAAAGGGTAATCCTGTTTCTCACAGGAGAACCAGGGATTTAGCTCCTTAAAAGTAGCATGCTCTTCAGTTCCTTCTTTCTGGTAGCTCTTAATCACCCTGTACCTCCAGTCATCAGTCTCAAGCTGAAATAAACTCTCATTAACCTTTAAATCTAATTTTCTGTCTCATTAGGGATTGTTACTGAAGTGAACCAGTCAGAGATTCCTTCCAACTAAGCTAATAAACTATAAGAATGTTTCCAGCTGGGAGCAACCCAATGGGTTTAACACTGACAGTGTAATGATGTTGAATGCAGGTTTCTAAACCTGGACACAATAAAGGCCAGCCTGCATGATATGCCTTGAAACCAGCTACATGTGTATGAGGCAGCTTTACATTGGGCCTGGTGTTGATTTTATTATGATACTTTTTCAATAAATAATAAACAATAAATCAATGTGCATCAAGCATAATGAAAATGACTCCTATAAATTGTTTATTGTATCCTGGGTCATGCAGTTTTATTCAAAAAGTTGCCTTTTTGCTGTTGTCTCTTCATGTACATAACCCTGCTGCTGTAGATTATGTACAGTGTTGTTATGTCCTGTAAAATCTGGTCTGGCCAACTTGACATGAATGAAAGGTAGCAGCTTCATTTATAAAAATGATTGAAATCTCTAGATTTTTCCGTGTATGGACATATATTAAAGCACAATATTATATCCTGCTCATTTCACCCTGCTGATGATTTTTATTGACCACTCTGTCCCTGAAGCAAGTGTCCGAATCCCCTTTCAGTCAAATCTGTTAGATTCCCAACAGCTGTGACCCCAGTTAGAGAGACAGAGAGAGAGAGAGAGCTTTGGAGTTAGCAGATATGATTTAGAGGCATCCCTGTATCAGTCTGTGCTCAAGTCAGAAACAGGTTTCTTGCATTAATCATTCTTAAGAATTCTGAAACTCAAGGCAATGTTAAAGAACATAACAAAAGTTTAAAGAATAAGAAATGTTACAAGAGAGAGGGTGTCATTTTTCCTAGTGAGTTTTGGTTGCACGTAGATTAACCTTGTCTCCAGCAACGTGTGTCCTTCTGAACCTCCTGCGCTGGCGGGATGAGAATTTCAGGACTTTGTGAAGCGATGCAGCCTCACTCAAACCGGAGCCAGACCTGAACTATAATTCTGTCACCAGCACTGAATGGGCTTCGTGTCCTGATTAGAGGGCTGGTAAACTGAGTTAGAGAGAGGTGCAGTCTGTGCTTTGATGCAGATATCTGCTCTATAAAAGCAGAAAAAAGCACTGATGTTGCATGAAAGCATTGTTTCCTCTTCACCAGTGGAGCAGAGTAAATAAATTCAGTTTATAAGCTGAAATATTGCAAATAATGTGGTTTCCAGGTTAAATTTATTATTATGGTCAATTGTTTGACATCTTTTTGAAACCCAAGCGATGATTGCTTACCTTACAAACATTACAACCTGCACAGAAACAGAAACCTTATGGTAGAAAATAAGGGAAAAAAGGAGAAATCAGGTAAAGTTACTGTATACACTGCTTTGAACCCCTGCACTGTCAGTAGAAAGTCAGAACTGCACTGCTTGACTCCTGAGAATGAGAAAGATGACCTCTTCAGAAGGATAATACCTGACCTAGCACATCTGTGTCTTCATCCAGGAGCACAGCAGCTGGTGCAGTAGATTCCAGAGGCATTCCAGGTTCACATCAGGGAATCAAAATACATTAAAAGTGAATCTGGCTCAATAAAATGTTACGGTTAGTTCTCAATTGTCTTAGCATTTTGCTGAAAACTGCATCAGTTTTAAATGAAGAAAAAATCAGTGACTTCAGTGTGGCTTGCAAGTTCCTTAATTGCAGTATTTATTTAATATCCCTTTCTCTGTCACCAGGGTGGAAAGAAAACAAATAAAGCAACAAGCAAAGGAGGGACTAAAAGTATTTATGCTCAATATAATTGGCGAAAATCACCCCCACTGTTTCAACTACTTTGGAAGAAAGTACAGTGCAATGAGGGGGCAGTCTGCATAAAATATCAACCATCTTGCGCACTTCAGAGACTTACATTGACCAATAGTCCAAATATCAGATCTCTGTCCATCCAGTATAAACATGTATTAAAAAATGAAACTTAAATGTTAAAAAGCCCATGCCTACAGGAATATTTATTTTACAGTAATGGCACTGCCATGTTCAATTATTGCAGACTGCAATCTGAAAAAGGTCTTTAAATAGCAGCAGTGTTTGGTGACAACATGATAGTTTACCTTAATCAATAAGAGTAATCTAACACCTTCCATACTGGGAATTTTCCATTCACGGCACCAGAAGGGCTGCAGTAGCAGCAAATGTTCTGAGTAGCAACTCATTCCCAGAGGCCAAGTATGCAGCAGTAGAAATTGGTCTAATATTTCAGGCCCCTTTTTAGATCGTATATACTTGATTGTTTGTGTCACAGTGTTGCAAATTTGCCAAACAAATGGAGGTCTGTATCCTGCACAGCTAGCAAATTACGCTGTGGCTGCTGTCGAGAGCTACAGTGAATTTGCACATTAGAAGAGGAGAAGCACAAAACTTTGCTCAGGTTTATTCCTCACTGCTATGGTACTATATTATGCTGTATGTTGATGAGGCTCCATGTTGTGCCAGGCACCTTAATTCTACACTTCTAGTCATTTTCCTGGGCCATTTTTCCAATTCCAGTTTCAGATTACATACATATTACTCGTACTTAATCCATCAAAGTGGTTAGAAAGTTTGGCCAGACGTACTCTCTGTCATGGTACTGACAGATTTTAGAGTCTGGCCAGACTTCCTAACCACATTGTTGAAGCTCCCAATCTGGGATCATTTAAAGAACAACGTGTTGGCATTCTTATATCAGAAAACATGGAGCCAAATGCACATGATGAGCTATGTCTCCATCTTCCGTTTGCATCCTTTTTTGCATGGTTATTTATGTTTCCCGATAGCTCAAGTACAGAACTGAACAGCCACAGTCCAGAAACTCTGTACTGGTCTCACAAAGCCAGTGAGATCACTGTGCAGGAGGAGACGATGTTGAACTTCGCAAAACCGTCTGGACGGTCTTTCACTCAGAACCCAAATTGCTAATTAAGCTTTACAAAGAAAATTATGTGACCCAATCTGAGATCATGCTGCCTTTATCTGAGGTCCACCTATGTTTTGTAAATGTCAACACAAATAGATTTTTTCCCCAAGTAATAATAGATCATGACAGGGGGATCTAACTGCTACTCTGAGAATGTATATGTAGTTATTTCTGTGAAAGGAAGGAGTTATGGACACATAGTCACAGATCTAAATTTGATCACACTGCTGGTGTTCAGCAGGTGCATGTCAGATTTGTTTTCTGTTTAAATGTTCCTGAAACATTTGTCAACGAGCAGAACTTGGCTTTCATGGCCTTGATATTCCTTTAACTCTACAAGGGATGTGTGCTCTGGTTCACACATTGACACAAGTACTTAGTGTTAGTGGCAACAAAACCTACAACAAGGCAACTTCAAATCTAGCATATTGCACTTTCTTCTCAGTACCAAGGGTATAAAGAGATCTTTTTTCATTTCAGAGGGTAGATAACATCTTGAACATAGCAATATGTCAAAATTGATCTTTTCATTGCTGCTGTACATCACAGTACCATTGCACATGACAAATTTCTAGAAGATAATCCTGATGGGCTGAAAGACCTCCTCTCGTTTGTTCCTTCCTTACGTCTTTATGCTCTTCTAAAGTGGAATCTTCCTTGTGAGAACAGGTGGAATCTAGTGTATGTGGAAATGGACAACAGAAGGTGTTTCTTTACCCAAAGGGTTGTGAGAGTCCAGAACAAGCTGCTCAGCCAGGTTGTTAGACTTGATACCCTCACTTCTTTCAAGAAAGAGCTGCATGAGATTCTCAGAACAATTAGCTTCTAATTACCAAGCAGACTAAGGTAGATGAATACCCTACTCTCATTTGTAACATGTCTTATGTTCTTTGCCTTGAACCAGTGGCAATATGGCTCCTGTTGTTTTGTCCCAGTGTTATATCAGGGAAAGGGACAGTTAAACTAGGGTCTCCAGCAACAGGCTGACCAGCATTTTGACGTGAAACACAAAAAGCACCTGAAGTCACCCTGAGGAAATTTTAGTGCTTTGTCCAATTTACCTACTCTTTATGCTGTACTGTACAGTATGTCTGCCTTGGTCTGCTATGGCTTTCCACTGCTTGTGGCATGCCTTAGCACTCTTTACCACAGTTTCATAGTGCCTTACTGTGCTGTTTCCTGGGCCATGTTGTAAGGTTCTGTTGAGCTCCGCGGCTGGATCAGAATTGTCGGATTGCTGAGTTTTAGTATGACCATCATAAATAGCTAACTAGCATAAAATCCCTGTGCTTCAGTGACAGTGTTACTACATTTTACTAATGAAGATACATTTGGGAGATCAGACAAATGTTTAGCATTTTCAAAGCCTGCTGTAATTTAAATGTTTTGCAGATCCCGAGTTAAAGGCTAATTGCATACAAAGCTCTACAGACACTTTGGATTTATATTTGGCTCAAGCTTTTTGTAAAGAGACATAAAATTATACCAGATTTCCGGGAAGTCACATGCTTGATCTCTCACACTGCCAAAACATGTTTTGCATTATCATTTAATCTACATGAGTAGTTTTGTTGAACTCTTAATTAAGAGAAGAGGTGTGATTTGCATAGAGCCTTTTACTTGGGTAAGTGACTGGACTGAGCAGAATGATGATGCTTTAAAGACACGATTGACAGACCCCCCCACTGCAAAGAGGGAGGAGCCAGCGATGAGGTGGAGAGGCGTGTGAAAATGAAACGAATCAGAACGAAGAGTGATATAAGATAAGATCACTTTATTAGCCATATACAATTTCTTGTATTAGGATTTTTTTTTTCACATACCCCACCTTGATCTCCATGAGACACACACACAGAGACAGGGAGAGAAGCTTGGGGTCAGAGTGCAGGGTCTGCCATTTATACAGCGCCCCTGGAGCAGTTGGGGTTAAGGGCCTCGCTCAGGGGCCCAGCAGAGTCGGATTCCTCTGCCAGCGACGGGATACGAATCCGCAACCTTCCAGCACAGGCGCAGATCCTGAGCCACAGAGCCACCGGATATATTGATACAACAGCAACTCTAAATGGACAAGATTTGGGTTTAATCTATTCCAAAACTTTTTTTTAACTTCACTTTAGATGTTGATTTTGAAGACACAATGGCATTTGCGAATGGCTCTTTAGTAAACAGGTGAGTAGAACAGTCATCCCCAAGTGGTGGTGTTACAGCTATGGCACAACAAAACCTCAGGATTATCTGTTGGAAATCTTTGGGTTTTGTTAGTGGGATTATAATCCTTCTTGGTTATTTTTGCCTGGTGCTTTTCCTTTGGTGATTCCTCAGTGGCATATTCTGTTAATTACAGTCTTCCTGTAAATGTACAATAGCTTACATTGTCATGTGTTTGCTATGAAGAAAAAAGTGAGGAACAGAGAGGCCTGAATATTGATCTCACAGAGCTACTTAAACCACCTTCAAGAAAATAATGAAGACAAATGTCCAAACCGGATGAAACTCTTGGTTCTGTCTTTGAAAGATGTTCTTACTGGTACTGTGAAATTAAAGTTCTGGAGAGCATTACTAGTCTTTCTTGTTAATTGAATGGCATTTTCCATTCGCACAAATTGTAACATTACACATTGCAGTACAAAGTCAGGATAAATAGAGGCTATTGTTCCATATTGCTTCAAGATGCCAGACTCATACTCTGCTTTCTAAATTACACAATGTATGTTCTAAGCAAAAGGCTTTGTCTTGTAAACACAAAGGCTTGCAAGCCATTAATCTCAACAGGAGTATTTCTATAACTCTTTCAGAAATGTAAATGTTTCTGCTCAAAGTGCCTGTTTACAATTTTTAAAGCAGTTGTTTCCAATCTTCACTAGTAAACCTTTTTACAGTCCCCCCCCCCCCCATTTTTTGTTCTTAAGCAATACATATGGAATCTGTTTATCATTGCAGTCTGAAGTTCAAACAGTTTTAGTACATTAACTCTCCTTCACAAGTTAGGGATTAAAATGTTTACAAAACAGCAACACACCTTAACAATTGAGTCCAGTTGTTTTTAGACAAAAGTTAGGATTTCTATGTTACAGCCATCTTTAGAGATAAAACACAAAAGGGTAAAACAATAAAAACAGCTGTGCTCCTTCTGTGCTGCGTTTAGGAATGCTCAGGACACTTGCAGTGTGTTGTGACAGGTGTGCACTCTGACAGGACTACAGTACAGCAGGATCACAGACACATTCTTTGAGTGAAAATCTGTCTTTGGAAACTCCACCAGAACAGCAAAACTAGGCTGCCCCTGTAGTCCAGTACAATTCAGTGTAGTTCATATTTTCAGCAGCATTTCACCATGATACACCTTTGAAGGGCAAAAATGTATTAATCATTTTTGGACCATATGATGGAGAAACATGTCTGTCGGAAAGCTATTTCTTCTGATACAAACATGTTCGGGCTTGTGGCCAAGTCAGACTTGTTGAAATTCTTCCTCTGCACTTTCAGGGCCGAAGGTGGGGCATCCAGGCGGCGTGACCTCCCTGCAAAGCTTCACTGCCGTCCAATGAAAGAGGAGCCCATGGTGGTCAGGCCCCCTTGGCTGCTGACTCTTCCCTGTGCCAGGGAATACCGGGCTGTCTTTGAACAAGCAAGTCACTTTGGTGTCTTCAAACAGTCCTCTTACTGAGCGTTTTATTTTATAATGTTTATTTGTTAACATGGAAGTGTTGAGCTGTTGAGCACACACAATTCTGTGTGGAATCCTGTGCTTTGAAGAGTCTTGTTTCCTTGTAACATCCCTCACCGTACAGCGCCATCCCAATGATATTCCAAAGTAAAAAGTTAAAACTATCTAAAGAACATTGCCTTCTGCTGTTGTCTCCCAAGTATTAGCTATACTTAATTCCAATTGCTATGGTTAATCCATCTATATCAATAAGGACTGGCTCTCCCGGGAAGCTATCTGTCAAAGGCTAGAGTGCTGTAATAGCTTGATGTTTCAGAGCCCAAATTATTTCTGGGGCATCTGAGCCTTTGGAACTTCTGAAAGACTGTGGTGTGAGATGTTCCAGATTTATTTACAAGGTAAATCATTGAAAAAAACACATTAAGCATAGTCATGTTGGTACAACTACTTAAATTAATATAATATAGAATTGATATAATTAATACCTTTCTTACACCCGAAGAAGGCTCCACAGCCGAAAAGTTGTGTTTTCTTTCTTCTCTTTTCATCATGGAATAAACCTATTACTTGTTCCTTTGCAGCCTATGCATGCTGATGCAGCTACCCTCCTGAACTACTATATAATTCTATCTCTTTCATTCTGTAGTTATGAAATATCTTTAGTTTAAAGAAGATCAAGTTGACCTAATTCAGTGGTTTTTGATAAGAGGTACAAGAAGCTCTTCAGTTGCAGTGAAGGTTAAGAACCACTGATCTGAATCGAGACAGTGTAAACAAACAGAAGTATTACAGCAAGATGACAAAAAAGCTCTTGTTTAGATATGTAAATATACTTAATTAATTTACTGGGCTGGGAATAAGGATGGTAGTAAGTATGGTGAGAAACAGAGCTCAGTAAAGCACCCAGCAGAGTACACCAAATAAGACCTGCCGATGGTATAAAACTTTCCATTACGCCATCACTTTAGACTAAACCATGAGATTAACTACAGAGGGACACATTTTTATGACAGAAACATAATAGTTTCTGAAGCACAAATTGGAGCTGAATGAAGGGCTTGGAGGGATTAAAGAACTTACCTTTCATCTCAGAAAGGCTGGGTTTATGTCTGTCTGCGGACACAAGCTGAATAATTTCAGAGCTGCCTAAGAGACTCTACTTATATCAGTAATGTAAAACTGGCCTCTTCAAGCACATCTCATGCCACATTATTTTTACTATTTTACTGCTGCTACATACACTACTGAGCACCAAGCTTGTAATCAGGTTTTCCTGTTACCATTTGAAGCACTCTGTATCCTTTGATCATAAGATAAACTATGGAATAGAAAGGCTGACTCAGCCCATGTGAACTATCTGATATCCCCTTAATCAGAGGGCTCGTGTCTCACTATAGCCCATGGAGAGAAGTCAACATATTTTCTAAAGGAAATGTTAGACTCTTTTGCAGTAATACTAAATGAAAAAGGAAGAAGAAGTGTACTACTGTATGTATGATAAAATCCAGTGAGTTTCATTTCATTAAGACAAAAAGTAATACAAGCATGTCACCTTGATTGCCACAGAAGCAGAATAGTCAGAATGGAATCTGGTGTCTGCAGCAATGCTGTCATGGGGGCGACTGCTGATGTGCATGACCAGAGAGCTACCGAAGATCTTGGGTAAAAGCAGCTCTAGTGGTGGCCATACAAACCCAGACATCCCAGTCTCAAATGTGACATTCAGAGCTAATGGGCTGGTTGCTACCCCATCAGGAAGAGGACATAAGAATGTTTCACCCAAATGCGAGCTCAGAAAAGTGGTTTGGAAACTCGTATCAATTTAATTCAAAATACTTTATTCAGCCCCAGTGGGGCAATTAAATATTCAAGGACAACAGTTGGGAATCTTCAAAAAACTCCGGCATCATCAGGATACATCATCTCCAAGCCCCCCATGTGAATCTGGTGTCTTTAGCAGAGTAGGACTGATTGTATCTTAAGCCCAGATAGTATCACAGGCCGAACCCCCTCTCAGATGATCCAGTATTTTTTGTTTTACATGCTGGTCACATGTCCTCACAGAGAGATTTACTGTCCCAAAACGGGAACGATCATGATACACGGGAGGACAAACAAACAGCTACAGCAACAAAAAAGGAATTGCTTAACTCACATATATCAAGCTTCTGCTCTTTATGTTCATTTATCTACACTCTAAGAGTGGTTGTCAGTGCATTTATGACCGGTTATTAAGTGACTTAAATCAATTTCAGTTTTAGATCACCTGCTGTCTAAAAACTAACTTGATGTTCATGTTAAAAAAAGCTCATGCCATTTAGCTGGGCACATCTGTTTTAACTGCAGGTGCTCATAAGTTCACCTATAATTAGGAAACCTCTTCCACATCATCAACTGCCGTAACTTTCTGTGAGTACCTGGTATAATGCAAACCAGTTGTTTTGATGAAGGTAAAGACCAGCTATCACAATGGTTCTCTCCATGTTTTCCTTTTTTACTGGCACATGTTCAAAGCAAACAAAAGACTGCACAGTTACGTAAATCCCAGCTGAAAGCCATTTCATATTAATACCAGAACGTATGACATAGGAAAACTGCACTGTAAGTCAAACAGTTTGTCTACTTGATTATTAGTTTTAAATAAATGGCCTTATCTAGATGTTTTTATAATCAAAAACAGAGATCAAAGTTGGTGCTGCTGAAATATATATTATATACAAGTCTGCTTATGTTTGTTTAAATTTGCCTTGAACCTCAGCTTATAAATAAGAACATAGAGGGGGACAGAGGGGGACGCTTTTGGGAACCACATTTCCCAGGATGCTGAGCAGAATGACCTGCCATCTCTGTCACCTGAGGTGTTGGGAGGGATGACTGGTCATGTGACAATTTAAAAATGACAGGAAGACGAGGCTTTGAGGTCTGTCTGATCTGCTGCACTTTTCTTCAAGCTTGCATTTCAGTTTAAACTTTTCTAGAATATATAAGACGTTACAGATTATCTATTAATACCCAAAAGGCCTGTGCAGGATTACAGCACCTTACTGTAGGTCAGCTTTCTAGCGAAGGAAAACACCAAATACTTACAGAGAGTAGCAGAATGATTGTGTGTGTTTTCAAGTACAATGCAGAAAGCTTTCTGCATAACACACTTGTGAACACCTTTAGGTCCTGAATGGCCATTTCAACAAGGGTTACGAAAAAAATACATGCTCAAGTTTATTAAAATGAAGACATGATTAATTTGCTTCAATAACATCTGGAGAAGAGAAACCAGATTTAAAAAAATAAATAAATCCATGTTCTTTATTACTGAGATTACTTTCACCTCTAATGTTATGCTTTGACTGATATTCAGGCAGAAATTCTTAGGTTTTATTAGCATTGAAGTTTAATGGTATCAGGTGAGGTCAAATCTGATCTCAAGTTATCTAAATCCTTTCATTATTAAGAGTCCTTATTAAAGAACAATGTTGTTGTTCCTACATGAAGTATACAGGGAAGATATAGTCTTGCGGGCTGACACTGTCCCTACTGTTATAGCAAGGCTATAGCAAAGACAGAGCTAAGCCATGTGAAAGATCCATGAATATACGACTGTCCCGCCTGCAATTTTCCTTTGGCACTTTCCTTCTGCAACCTCCTGTCTTTATGTAGAGGTGGCAGTGTATTCCTCTGGGAGACAAGAGCCTCATACACAAGGCAGCATGCCACAGATACTACTGAGTGGAGCCTGGCAACTCAATCAAATGCAACACTTAAAACATTTTAAATAAAAAATTAAACATAAGATGCTGGTTTTTATTTATTATTTAAATGCACAACTGTCCTATTTTAAAATAAAACACCATAGAACATATGCTATGATGTCTTCTACACAGCAAGATTAATTCTTTTATAGAATAGTTTCCTGTCTTACAGAAGCAGAAGAGAACAGGAATACAGCTCCAGGGAATCCTACAATTAAGTGTTTGCATTCCAAGAACAGATGTATGACAAATTATTCCAGTATTGGTTTTGAGATGAAAAGCTTTCTTGCTTTTTTGTAAGACTTGAAACTCTTAGACTTGATACTCTGGTATTTTCTGGTCAATAACCACTCAGAATCTCACAATCTCCTTCTGCTTGCAATACATCCTGATTTCATTGGTGAATATTGCACAGTTAAATGTCAAATGCCACTTGTCACCATGTCTCAACAGGAATGCTGCTATGTGGAAATATGAAAGGCGCATTAGCACTAAAACCACTGTTGTGCATTCATCTCTCTGAAAACCACCCCCAGTTCTGTGAGATTAATATCTTATACATAGTAGCCTTCTTATTTTCGGATTGTTGTGTCAGCCCACCAAAATCTCACCATAGGAAAAAAAGATTCTTGTGGTCCAAGAGGGAGATTTGCTATGGAAACTTGTTGTGACAACAGAGAAGTGTACAGACTGTAAACAGGCAGCTGTTAGAAGATGACAAGCTTCACAGACGATGTTAATTTAGCAAGGTTACCAGAGTTATGCATTCAGATGGATGTATTCAAAAAACAAACAAATCTAAATAATAGAGAGAGTATATAACCCTAAATGCTTTTGCTCAAATCTCCAGTGAGCAACCGCCTGTTCTGTGCTGACTATACACTATTTCCTCCTTTCATGTCCACTGCTTCAATAAAAACGTAATCATTAACATGAGCTGTGGCGGTTTGATGCCTTCAGAGACAATCGACTGTGACAGAGTCAAACCCCGTTCTGGCCACGAGGAAGATCCTGCAGTCAGAAATGTTTACAGTTTTTCTCCTGGGCGTTTTATAAGGACCATTACTGAATCACACTATGATTGTAAAGTACACTAAGCTTTACCATGCAAGCAGATTTCTGCAAGAGACCTTTGACTCCCACTCTTTCTTAGACTTTTAGAAATGCATTTATTGAAGAACTTCTTCAAGATATTCCTGAAGGACTCCTGGAAAATGCCTCTCGATTCAACCTCTGTTATCATCCCTGGTGACTCTTTCTTTCCCTTTGGAGATCTCTATCTCCTCTGTCCATTATTCCCAAGATAAACATTTTTTTTACCTGAAGGTTATTTTTCAGAGCAGCAGGGTCTGTCATGGTAGTGCAATGACCAAGGCTTGCCATTGCGATCAAA